AGACCATTTATTTCCCTCCCTCATCCATCTAGACAGTGATCCTTCCTAATTGATGGTAGTTTAATCTTCTTTTCATTTTTGTATGTTTAAGTGCTTTTTCTTTCTAGAGATATGCCTGCCTGAATTCTTTGTCATCTAAATTTTTGCTTAAATATTAATTATTGGATTTCACTCAGAAATTGAGTGAAAATTCAGAAATAAGACTGGAAGGCAATATTTTCCCTCTATTTTGTTTCATGGCTAAGTTAAGGAACTATAATTTTAAACTAAGGAAAAATAATTTTAAAATTTATGTGTTAAAAAATAGCTCTGAAAGGGCCTCCCCAGTGGCGCAGCGGTTGAGCGCTGGGTTGCGAAGCTGCCCGCACCTTCTGCAGCACTGGTTCGATCCCCGGCTGTTCCCTGGCCACAAGAGGAGGGTCCCACATGGCGCGCAGACCTCTCCTGCCGCCTGCTGCTCCCCTCAGCAGTGTTGGTCCTTCTGCCTGCTCTGCTCCCTGCTCTGGTGAATTCTCTCACCCTCCCGTGCTTCTGACTGTACCCAGTGCTTGTATAAATAAATAAATAAATAAATAAATCTAAAAAATCTTTGGAATAGAGATTTTGGAGAGGAATACTTGTATGCTATAGGTAGAGCTTGATCTTTCCATGGGAGGGTTTATTCTACCAGTGTTTTGGGATGGGTACAGGAAGGGACCCCACCTAATTTAAGTCTTGAGTGAATTAAAACTCATTGGTGTAAGCTGCATGCATCGAGTCCTGGATAGTGAACGTTTGGAAGCCAATGTTTTGTCAAACCAGCAGTTAAACCAAGGCAAATACTACCATTTTGAGAATGGAGGAGCCATGTGACTTAATGAAGCAAAGTGTGTGATGCAGGCTGAGTACTGTAAATGCACCCAACTTTCCAATCTATCCCCAGCTCCTCCAAGTCATTTCCAGGGTCCCCTCATTCAACCGTATCTTTGGTTTCCCAGTTAAGTTCTCCCAAACTGAAAGTTCGGTTTGTCACAGTATCTGTGAGCCACTGGCATGCCAAACCTCACCCTACCTGTTTGCTCCAGTGGAGAGGGAGGGAGCTGGCATGTTGCAGTCCCCAGGGCATTTGGAGGCCAAGCAGATGTACCCAGGAGCTGCCCACTGTGGGGACCCATAGCCTACACGTGTGTACAGGAAGAATTCTGGGAACACAAGAGGCTCAAGGTCCCACCCGACCCCTCCATCCTGTACTTCCTGAACTTCTCTGGATGGAGGAGGTGTGTGACCTGGGGTTTCTTGGGGGTGCCAAGCACTGGGCAACCCCTGACTCCACAGCCACCTCCTTTCTCATAGCTCTGTGTAGCTTCCCTGCCTTCTAGGTCTAGGTAAGCAAAATCAAGTGTTTTAGGATGTGGGTATGTTAGACTATCCTGTGCATGCACTTCTGCTGGAAAGCAAAGCCTGTATGTGGACATTTGATTAAGTGGGTTAGGGAGAAACCCCAACTTGCCTTATATATATATATATATATAAAAATATATATATATATATATAATATATATGGAATCAACTTTAAAGTCCTTAACTCAAGGACACAGCCTTAAAAGTGTGAAAAGAGCCGAAGGATGCCGTGGCCCAGTGCTAGTGTCTGGTAAGTGTCATCTGGGAAATCCCCAATGGCCAAGGCCTGGTCACTGTAGCACCCTGAGGTGCTAGTTGTGTGGCCTTGTTCATTGCACAAAGTGCTTTTTTAAATCCTTTCTCACTTAATCAGGATCATGAAATATTCAGTAGAACAGCACAGTGCGATGTGTTTTTTTCTTCTCTTCTGAAAAGGTGCAGGTTGAGCTGGGTTTGGGCAGCCACGCACAGAGATGCTTTGCCCAGGATGTGGTTGATCAGGAATAGCTTTGAGGAGCTCTGGGAAGGCCAGTCACAGAAGAAGCAGGGTGCCATGTACAGGGAGAAGCAGATGTGGACATGCCACGTGGCTACAAGGGCCTATCTCCCAGGGTGGGGGTCTGTGACTCAGCGGGTCCTCTTGGGTCTTTGAGGACAGTCTGTAAAGGGCCAGAGGGGGCCAGTCAGGATTGAAGAACTGCATCTGCATGCTCTATCCCATTTTTTCCAAGAGGAGATGAAATTGCCAGCCTTAGGCATGGAATGTCTTGGAAAATCCATCCTGTGTGTCTTTGACCTGTCCACACCCACCACCATCTTAGGCCTCTGGGCTTGGTGGCAGGAGGTCACAGGGCCTGACAGGGTAAAGAAAGCAGGGCTGGAAAGTCGGGAGGACGAATGTGCCTCTGGGGGAGTTGAGGTACTTCGTGGAGGAGGAGTTTGCATGATCCTCTTCCATTTGCACTGGGGCTTTGGGTCTGAGCATGGAGCAGTTTGTGGCCCTCCTCAGCTCACTCTCTGTAGCACATTGGGTCCCTGGCACGGGGCTGGTGCTGGGCACCAAGATGCATGCACTCATCTGTGTGTTGAAGAGACTGAGGAGCAAACGCTTTCTGCGATGGAGTGAGGGCTTCGTTTTCCTTTCCTTGCAAGACCACACAATCAGAGAAATTTGGGGGTGAGGAGTGGGGAGGTGGCTTTCTGGAAAGTTATGGAAGGCTTGGAATGTAAGACTGTGGGTAATCGGAAAACACCAGTTGGGCCGGGCCTTCCTAGACCAGAGTTGCCACAACTGCTCCCAGGAGGTGTGTGGTGGGATGGAGGGTGGGAGTGTTTGGACTAGATCCTATTCCAAGTTGAAGGGGTTAATCACAAGTTTCTGGGAAGTCACAACACGGCCTCTCTTCTAATGGGGAGTCATGGTACCAGTCAGGAGCCCACACTCATCCCTCGCTCTTGAGCAGCCGGAGAAGGCAGTGGTAGCACTTGCAGATTTAGAACCATCGAAGCCAGTGGGATATACTGCGTCCTGCGTGTCTCTGGCCCTTGACCTCTGATAAGGCAGCTCTAGCTCCAGGAGCTGGGGCTTGGCCTCAGAATGCGGCTTCAGTACTGGCTGAGGCACAGGTGCTAGTAGAAGGGTCTCATCTGCAGGCCTGGGCCCGCCGACCAGGAACGGGGCACTCCCAGCCCCCAGCGTGGCTACGGGTTCCTCAGAAACCCTGGGTCCTGCTCCAGGCAGAGCTCACCAGCACGGTTTGGGGATGTGATAGAGAGGAACAGGTTTTCATCTACTGTTTTTTGAAGTCCCTGCCATAAAAGAGACCTTGAATTGATTTTTTTGTTTTAAGATGAAAGAGACCCACATGATTTCTATCCCTGCCACACACTGATGAACCAGAACGGGTTTGTCCTGCACTGTAGTTCAGACCGTGGGGCCTGAATGTTCCTTCCATGTTTCATTTGTTTGAGCTATTTCCTTTGGGTGTTTAAACCCCCATGTCAGTGGGCAGATATGCTTCGAGCCAGGCCTTCCAGATTTAATATAACAAGCTCCACTCCCAGCCCTGATGCAAGATTCCGCAGAGAACAAGAGTTCTGTTCGTCAGTTGGCTGCTTTCTGGCAGGCCTGTGAGTTCTCCTTGAAATAACAGGACAAGGCGGGAGGAACTGACTTAGCCTCACATGGAAGAAGAGTAACTTGGTTGACATTCCATTGTAATTTAGCAGTCGGTTAATGGGCACTTACTGGAAAATGTTACCAGGCTCTGCGGTGAGTGTTGTTAGAAACTGAGCTACTCTGCATATTTCCCCAGAGCCTTTCCCCGCTTCTCCTCTAGTAGACACTGGAGCTGCAGGAAGTGGCACTGTGTTGCAATCACAGCTTCATTGTTCCTTTGTATTATTTGTTTTGGGTTTCAAAATTAAATCTTTTGGTGCCAGAGACTTGCCAAGAGCTCGGGGGTGGCACAGGGGTCACTGGGTTATTTTGCTGGGTGCCCCACAGGTAGGAGGTGTTGAGGGCCCCCCATGACCCAGTGCCTAGCAGTGTCAGTTTCACATATAGTTAATTTGAGTCCTCTGAGCAGAATGTTGCTCCATATCTTTGTCTTTATCCATGAAATTATTTCAAATAGCTGGTCACTTCCTGGGCTTTGTGTAATCACACATTTTGTAAAACTTTGCCAGGCTGTCGAAGTGAGAAGGTGATTTGTGAGTCCCAGCTTGGGTAGAATCCTGACTTTGCCATTTACTAGCTGTGTGACCTTGGGCAACTCACTTAACCACTCTGAGCCTCAGGAGTCTTGTTAACAAATGACCACAAGCGTTCCCAGGGAATAGCAATCAGCAAAATGGTGTGAGTGGAGGCAGATAGTAAAGTCCCTGGAACATGTTAACTGCTTTTCCTTGCCACCTTAAAGCAGCAGCAACAGAATGCCCCTTTGCTGGGTCAGAGTGTTGGTGACTGAGTGGAGGGTTGGGGGACAAAGCCTGTCCACTCTTGGAGGGAGAGATCTTGCCCCTTTCCTTCCTCACAAGGAAGACAGGTGTCAGTGTGGGGTGTCACCACGTGCCTCCGCGATAGTGTATTGGAGTGCTAGGGAGGTCCAGAGGAGCCCCCTCTTCCTGCAGCTCCTGGGCTGTGCCACCCACATTTGCTTGGAGGGTAGAAAGCCTATCGCCTGCAGCTGGATAGAGTGTCTTTTGGGGAAGCTTGGTCTCGTTCCAGGGGACTCCACAGTGCGATGGCCACATCATTTCATTTCTGGGTCATATTTTCAACTCCTTCTTCCTACTAGAGCTCTCCATCCTCTCTGAAGTAAATGAAATAATTGTCACCAGCCTCCCACTTAATTACCATGGCTGCTGCGCCCTGTTCCCCGCATGCTCGCAGGAAGTCCACTGGGGCACTTGGCAGCCTCCTGACCCCATGGCACCAGAGCCTGGATTTTTGAGGTCTGGTGGATTCCTGAGACTTTCCTTCTGCGCCCACGTCTGGACGGCATCCCCAGCCCAGCCCGCAGTAGCACCCAGGGAGTGGCCGGTGCTCTGCCGGCTCCACACGACTGGCACACACTGACGAGCTTGTGGTTTGCTTCTCTTTCCTCCTTCCCCTCCAGAGTACAAGAAGAAGTATGGAGAGGAACACGGCTCCTGCCAGGCTGGGATCGCAGGCTTCTTCACTGAGGTGGGTGTCGGCTCTGAGGCAGTTCTGCTTTCTTTTTGGTGTTCATTTCTTTGCTGGTAGTGAGGCATTGAGATGGATCTTCCAGCGCCCCACTTACTTGGGTTGTGAGTCAGTAGATCCTGGGTCTCACATCCAGGGACAGTCCTTGAAAGTGAGGGGGAACCAGCTGGTCAGAGACCACTGAGAGCAATGGGCTGAGTCCTTGGGGCCTGGGAGCTCACCTATTTAGGTAATTTTTATACGGGCAACTAAGTTGAGACCATGGAAGGAATTGATGAACGGGGTGTCTGTGGGTCAGTGAGTAGTCACTGGGTCTCACCATCAAGCACCATTGCTCTCTCCTAGGAAGACCCTTGACCTCAGGCACGACTCTAATCATTCTTTCATCCCTGTCCCTGATTTCTGAAGGACCACAGACTTGACTGTTTCTTTGCCTATGCAGGACCATGAACTTTGACTGGTGCTACCTTTTTAGAGACTGTTTTTTCATGTGATTCTCACCCATGTCAATGTACCCTTCCTTTTTCAAATATTTTTATGACCTTTTTCAAATATTTTTATCTGCCAGGTGCAGATTTCTGTGCCAGGCCCTGTGAGTGCCACTGTCACCCCTGTCATTGCTCAGACTTCCACAAAGTGCTTTTTACTTCACTTCCAATTCCTCTGCTCTCCTGTTACTTTAAGCACCAAAACACATCCCAAGTAAGAAGACGGTCTTAATTGCCACCACCACCCTAAGAGAAAATCCACTGTCATTGCCTGGAGATACCCTGGCCAGGCACTGGTCTCCTTACGTCCATCATTTTACTTATTTCTTTTTTAATCACAGTAAAATGCATACAACTTTCACCATGTTAACTGTTTTAAAGCAAAGCCAATGATTCAGTGGCTATTCAAGCATTACACTGTGGGGCCACCATCACCTCTGTCTGGTTTCAGAGCATTTTCAGCACCTGACTCTGCATCCATCCTCAGCCCCACGTGCGTTTTCTGCACACCAACCTGAAGCATCTTTCTGACTCTGACCCCCCCATCCTGTGGTAGGTGAACATGTCAGCTGTGCATCTGCCCCTGGGCATCTCTCTGTGATGTCAGTTCTCCTTCACTCACCCCAGGGCAGCAGGCGGCTTCAGGGGAGGGACAAGACATTGAGGAGGGGAAAGACCAGTAGCACCCACGGGTTACCAACGCTTCTAATCAGGGACAGAAGCACCCACCTTAATTTCTCAAACCACTATTTAAATTCAAAGAGAAAATGGACCATTGGCAATATAATGTCTGATCCAGAAAGCAAAATGTGAAAGATACACAAGTCAGAAAAGTCAGAAGCTTTATCACCCTTTATGTCAAACCAATACACGCAAGATGTTTCTCTCCCAGCCTGCCCTTGCCCCAGGAAATACATTTGCTGCCATTTTCTTGACTGTCTCTGGGAATGGTATCACCAGTTCTAACTCTCCATATCTGGCCATCAGCAAGTCCCAGCCCCAGGCCCTGGAACCAGTCCCAGAGACCTGCACTTTTTTTTCTCTTCACTCCCACCCTACAAATACAAGCTGCAGTTGCCTTGCCTCTGGCTCACCACAGCACCCTCTTGTATCTGGCTTCTCTGTCACCCCTCAACTCACTGTTCCTACACCTGGCGTTAAGGAACAAGAGCAGTGCTGTTGTCCTCTGCTCAAAATCTTTTGTTGTCTTCTCATTGTGTGTATAATGTAATAGTCCAGACACCCCCCGCGGCCCCCCAGGGCCTGCCTCTCCAGCCCCACCTCTGTGCTGGCCACCCCCCATGCTGCCTCCTGCTGCACTGACTTCCTCCACTTTCTGGGGCCTGCCCAATCTGACTGAGGTTCCCACACCTGGCATTTTGTGCCCAAGGGCACACTTCTTTAGAGAGACACATAGTAGAAGAATTGCTGGGTAAAAAGCAACCCAAAATTTGAATTTTGGTGCATGCTGGCAAATGGCTGTCCTGAAATGTTTACCAGGTGACCTCTCTCTGGACGGACGCCGAATCTGCCCCTCTGTTCTCTCAGCAACACTTAGCATTTTTGTCATTTTAAAAAAAGCTAGTTTATTTTGTTTTAGTGGCCTCTCACCTGATTACTAATGCAGTTTAGTGTATTTTTTCAAATAATGGACATCTGTCTTTTTTTTTTTTTTCATTTCCTTTTTTTCTTAGTCCATGATTGTGCTTTTTGGCGGTGGTGCTGCTTTCCCTGGTTTTCAGGATCTGGTAACATATTTTCAATGCTAGCCTCTTACCTCTATGTGCTGCAAATATTTTTCATCAGCCCTATCTGCTGAGCTTGCTTAGGGGGTCTTTATTGGACCCATATTGAACATTCATGTTTGGTCAAATGTATCAGTCTTTTTCTTTCTGGAGTGCAGGCTTCTTTTTTTGGAAAGTCATCTCTATCCCAAGACTATGGAATGTCCACCTGCATTTTCTCCTTATTTTTGTAGATTAGAAAAAAAAATTATGTCCTTAATCCATCTGGCATTTATCTTTGAGATGTTGTGGGTAGAAACAAGCTGCATGGTTTCCCTGTGCATACAGCTGATGTGATACGGGTCTGCTAGATAGTTCTTCCCAGCCCCACTGAGTGTACTGCCAGCCTGCCACATGCCAGGTCCACTCCCTTCCATCTCCATAAGCATTTAGGTTGTGTGAGTTCTATGGCTGTTGTCTTTCAGTTAGCTCTAGTGACTCAGTGGGCTTCAGGGAAACATCTGTAAGCATGTGGGCAGGTGACCATGCGGTGAAGAGCGTGCTGCCAGAGGCCATTTGGGGTGGTGGGCCAGGAGTTTGGAAGTGGGAGGGTCAGGAGAGAGGTCAGATAAAAGGATGTGATGTGGTAAAGCCACAAAGCAACAGGGCAGGCTGGAGTGATGCTTTAGGAATAAAAATGATTGTGGGGATCAGAACATTAAGCCCTGTCAGTGGGTTGGGTGGCTGCTGGATCATGAGGTTGAGGAAGGAGGTTTTGAGCCAGGGTTCTGGTGAAGTATAGTGGCCTGGTAGAAAGGGGCCACTTCAGGCAGAATCAGGGCCAGGGGCAAGCTGCTTGGTCTGCTTTAGAAACACCAGTGCGAGGTGGTGGGTAGGACAGTCAATTGTTTTCAGGAGACATTTATATAGAGAGACAGAAACCCAGCCTGAATGAGAAACTTGGATTTGGCCACTGCTGGTAAGTCTCTGAGGGGACTGTGCATGCTCAGCCTGGCCTTCTTGGTGGGAGGAAAAAGACTCATCAAGGCAGTGAGAACTCTGAGATGTTGGTGGAGAACCAGGGGAGAGACAGTGCTCCTGGGGGGGCCATCATGAGGGTCTCGCTAGCTGGAAGGGCAGGGAAGTGAGGGTTTTGGGGCTGGATGGACTTGGTCAGAGGAACTGGAAGGACAGGGCTGTGGAGGGGAGAGCCAGGCAATGGTGCAGGCTCCTGGTGACCAAAGGAGCCACTGAGCCTGTTGAAACTCCAGGCTCTGGAGTCCAGCACTTGAGGGAGCTTGTGGGACCAAAGCGGGGCGACAGCCAAAGCAAGGGCTCGGTCTTCAACCTGGCCTACGGTCTCCTGGACACTCTGGCTTTTGCCTCTGCTTCAGTTCCCAGACTTTTGGCCTCCCTTAGCAGGAGGGCTTTGAACTTACTGCCTCCCTTGTTTTTGGGACTTCAGCTATTGGAGGCTGGGCTGGAAAATGTGGTTGAAAAGGTCAGGCAGCATGGCTCCCTCCCCTGCCTCCTGCTGGCCTTGTTGTTGCTTGGGCCTGCCTCTGCTGTGGCTGGGCTGTCCCCACACAGGGCATCTTGGACAGACAGCATCTGTAGTCTTCCGGACATGGCTGTATTGCCATGAAGTACTTGGCCCAAAATGCCTGCTTGACTTGAGGGTTGGTGACCCAGGAGTTATCAAAGCTGTTTGATTTGTGGATACCACTAGAGTTTTAGCCCATCAATGGGGGCACAGGAGAATTTCCTGGAAACTTTATTTTAGTAGCCTGGGATAACAGAGGTGATGGATCCTTCTTGGAAGCAAGAGAAGAAAGACATTCGCCCAGCCTTCTCTGCCTCCCCTCAGCATTGCAGTACCACGATGGAAGCCTGGGGGGCCTGGGGGAGTCTTCTGTTACAGACCCTGAGACTCTCTGCCCTCTGCTTATGCCATCTTGCTGTGCGCAGACTTGCTTGGGTAGCCTGTTATCTCTGGGGATTCTGCTGATAAATGCTCCTTGGGGACAGCCCCACACTGCTTATTGATGGATTCCACACACGCAGTTCAGGCAGATGGTAGCCTCTGACTTCCAGAGACGCTTGCATTTATGTGCATGACATTTGCATTGGCTGTTCTGGGTGGTGGGGAGCTGAGTGCTGATAACATTTTCCCAGCACTTGTGAACAGTGCCAGCAGACAAGGCAAAGGGTGAATGGAAAAGGCCAAATATGAGGGAGTTCCAGGAAGACACAGCCTCCCTGCCCCACCCCTCATCCCAAGGTCCTTAGACTTGGCATCAGCTTTTCTAGTTTGAACAGAAGGGAGAGCGAATGTGAGCCCGAGGCAGGGTTTTGAAGGAGTAGGGTTAACTTGTCTTATCCTCTTGCTCTAATGGTTGAGAGGAGATGCAGGGACATGTCAGGCTTTTACCAGCCTAGAGCATCAGAACACAGAGTGTGCATAGCCTGGGATCTGGAGGGGCCTCACAGACCTGTGGTGATGCTCCAAGCAGGTGGAGGGAGCTCTGCATGTGTGTGCAGCTGGTGCTGAGCCTGCCACTCGTCATTGTGCTCCCCACTGTCTTTTGCACTTGGATGCTGATTACAAATTCCTTTCTGAACTCAAGGCCAAGGAAAGTCCCTCTCCTCTGATGAGCTGATAAATTTGTCTTTCTCATCCCCTTCTAGAACTCGCACACAGTCCCTCCCACAGAGCAGATGTTGTGTAAGGGTGAGTGAATGAGTGAATGCACAAGTGCATCCAGTGCCTGTGTTTTCCCAGTGTGGGTCTTGAGTGCAGAAAGTGATAGCGGTGAGCTCCTTCTGGGTAATCAACTGCTTCCTTTGAGCTGAATAGGATCTTGGAAACTTTAGGTGTCCATCAACAATTATTCTTGGTCCATGCCTTCCTGAGTTATCAAAAGCAAACCATTTTAGCAGGAATCTGAAGGTTTCTCTTCATCTTGCTGATACCCTACTGCTTGTTAAGGTTCTTTCCCAGACTGACCACAGAATATGTGTGGTGCAAGGCACCATCCTGATGCTGTCACACACTGGCTCTCCCGCCTCCTTTCTGACATTCTTTTCAGAAGCTTCTGGCCTTTTCAGACATTTGTTCCCTGGGAATTCAGTGTGACTTTATGAATTGTCTTCAAAAACTCAGAATCTTTATGGTAGGATCTAACTTTCTGGACTTGTTGGGAACCAGTAGCTTCTGAAGTGTTGAGGCCAGCTCTACAGAAGGAGGTCAGCCTGGCCTCTGCTTCTGCAATATTGCAGTGTATATGGACCCTAAAGGCCCAGGCAGGTGTGTTGCAGCAACAGTAGGTGCGACCTGCACAGTGTCTGTCGCCTGTGTGAGTCCAGGTGAGTTTTGGGGTTTTGTGTACACCTGAGAGATTTCCTCTAGAAATTGTCTTCATTTTATTTTATTTGTTTAAAAAAGATTTATTTATTTATTTATATAAGCACTGGGTACAGTCAGAAGCGTGGGAGGGTGAGAGAATTCACCAGAGCCAGAGCAGGGAACAGAACAGGCAGACTGACTGAAATACACTGTTGAAGGGAGCAGCGGGCGGGGCAGGAGAGGTCTGTCGCGCCATGTGGGACCCTCGCCGGTGGCCGGGGATCGAACTGGTGCTGCAGAGGCTGCGGGCCTAGAAATTGTCTTCATTTTACTGTATTTGGATAGAATTTTTCCCTAAAATATTTTGTACATCTTCATGTTCACTTGCCCCAGGGATGTCATTCTCAGGGACTTCATTTGTTGTATGTGTCCAGTATAAGTTTTCATATATAGTAGGAGATGCTTAATAAACATGTAGTGAAAATGAATGATTTTGTTAGAAAATTTTTTATTCTTATTGCAGTGTAGGTACTTCAGAAAAGAAGGGGTTCCTGCTGGAGGGATGCACTGGAAGGCTTAGCCTGGGGCATATGCTGTCTTCAGGGCCTTCCCTGCCCCCACTGCTTCACACAGTGTGTGCTTTATTTTGTGCTTCAACAGCTTCATCACAGGAACACATTTTGCTTTTAAAGAAACTTAAAGAAAATATACTTCAGGGATAAAAGAGACAAAAAATTCCCATCATTTTAGCACCCAGTAGAAAAAGCCATAAACATTTTGCAGCTTAGCCTTCTAGTCTTCATTGTCTGTATATACTTTTTTCTTTCATAAAACACAATCATATTGTACATACTATTGCAATGTTTTCTTTTTTTAACTTGTCGGTCATAGTGGCCAGAAAACCAAGCTTTAGAACCACCCCTAAGAAGACAACCTGGAGTGAGAACTGAAGGGGCTTCCTTCCAGTGGTCCAACTTTGTGCCATTGTGGCAAAGTAAATTCTGGTGACTGTTTATCTCTTGCTCAGCATGGGTCAAGTGGAGTTGCTGGATGAGGGGCTGGAGGTCAGGCTGCTAAGGTGAGGGTGTCTATTCATGACCTGGAATTGTCCCTGGTATTGTCTGACTTAGCCCATGTCAAATATTTTCCATTTCTTTGCTTGATCCTGGGGTACAGGTGAGGAAATAGGTGCAGCCTCAGCTGTGGATAGGATAGGGAGCTGGTGTGTTTCCCATTCTGCTGCCTTGTTCTGTGTCTTTAGCCCTGGGAAGCTGCTGAAGACTTTTTTATTGATCAACTGAAGAAAGGTAGCTTGAGTTTAGTTCTAAGTTCTTGTTTGTGACTGTGGTTCTCAATCCACTGCCCACCCCCATCTTCAGCTTCCTTCTCTGTTTACCTTTGTTTTCTCTTTGGTAGGAGCTGGTGGTGATGGGTGCTCCAGGGTCATTTTATTGGGCTGGGACTGTGAAAGTGCTGAACCTTACAGACAACACCTATTTCAAACTGAATGATGAGATGATCATGAACAGGCGATACACTTACCTGGGTGAGTAGCTCAGGGAGGTGACAGGTAAGAAAGGGGACATGGGAGTGACTACTGTTATGCTTGTGAATTACTGCATTACTGGTAGAAAAACCAGTTTGTTGGCCTTTAATCTGTTTATTGGCTATGCTTTTTTTTTTTTTTTTAAGATTTATTTATTTATTTATACAAGCACTGGGTACAGTCAGAAGCGCGGGAGGGTGAGAGAATTCACCAGAGCCAGAGTGGGGAGCAGAACAGGCAGAAGGAACGAAGTACACTGCTGAGGGGAGCAGCAGGCAAAGAGGTCTGCGTGCCATGTGAGACCCTCACTGGTGGCCGGGGATCGAACTGTCGCTGCAGAGGCTGTGGGCAGCTTCGCAGCCCAGCGCTCAACTGCTGTGCCACCAGGAGAGGCCCTATTGGCTATGCTTTTAACTAGGGCTCTTTCACATTGAGCCCCATACACTGGAGGTAGAGAGGAGACCAAAGGAAGGGACTGAATTAAAACCATGGGATTTAATTAAAAAGCTCACGGTTGAACCTTCAGGGAAGCAAATATTTTATTTTCTTATTTTAGCAGTTACTCCTATTCAGATGATCAGGTCCAAAGTGATTGCAACAGAGTCCTGATCTTCCATGGCATTCTTTTGCATGGAGGTCTCTGCTTCCTGGGCCCAAAAGTGGTTGCCAGTAGAAATAAGAACCAGAGATTATTGGGCAGGATGGCAATGTAGTGCTGAAGTTTAATTAAAGGCTCACAAAAATTTCTCTTATTTTATCGATTCTTTTAATCTTCTAGAAAGAAGATAGACACAACGTAAGTTTGCAGCCACCAGGCTAAACTGACGCCAAGTCAGATCATGCCTATTTAAGAACAGAGAGATAGGCTGCCTGTGCTCGTGAATACGATCATTTTACATGACTGTCTTCTTTAATTCATGCCCTAAATGCTGTAATTTTGGACTCAAAATAAAGCTAATTTTCAGAAGACCTAATGATGAAAGAACAATGCTCTTTTACACTCATCACAGATAATGTATATCCCTGGAAGCTCTGCCCTCCTTTTTGCATAGAGTCTCTTGTGAGAGGATAGTAGAGAGTTAATGACTTGCCTTTTTCCTTCTAATTGCAGGTTTTTAAATTTTTTTTTTTTTTTTTTTTTTTTTTTTTTTTTTTGCCCAGTAACTCTACCATAATACTTGTACTCCAGCTTTGGAGTGTTTGCATTCTGCATGCTCCTAGATCCATAATGCTGTCATTGACTGAGCATTTATTCTACGCCAGGTTCTACACATCAATTTTTTTTAATTCCTGAAGCAACTTTTGGAGCTAGCTATTATTATTGCATTTTATAGGTAAGGTAACTTAGGTTCAAAGAAGTCATATCACTTCCAAAGTTCACATGAACCAGTAAGTAGCAAATACTCATCGTTTCTGAGCTTAGAGTCTAGATGCCGAACTTCCCCTCCCTAAACTGTGGCCATAGCACTGACCACTGATACTGATCACTCACTAGGCTGGGAATATCTTGGAATTGGGGAATTTATGTCAAATTTCTAGGACTAGGTCTAAAAGCCTGGTGCATACTAGGAATTCAACTTTGTTTATTTGATCAGAGAATGAAGAGAAGGCAGAAAAGAACCTAATTGGAGAAGTAACTTTAGGGTCTGGGAGAGGTCCTTTGAACCTCAGGACCTGTGGCTCCTTGCTGTGTTTACAAAACGAAGGCCCTTATGTGTTGCAGGGCTTGCCAAGGTCACGTGACCCATTGATATCATTCAATACTCTCAGCCTCCAGTCTGAGTCTGTGTTCAGCCACTTGGCAGATAAGAATTGATCCTGATACGTTGTCATCACAAAAGCCAAACAGCTTATGATCACAGTGCTAGGGTTTGAGGGTGATGACAAGGTTTGGGGAATATATGGTAGCTTGTGCAGGGTTTTTGCTGGCTAGAGAAGAACTTTCAACTTGCTGGCAAGACTCAAAGAAAGAATAGATTTAGACTAAGCTCAGGCAATTTTTTCTTTTGTTTCTGGGACTCCTTTTGCATCCAGACTCTTTGCCTCCCTATCCATCCATCCATCTAACCATCATCCATCTGTCCATCCATCTTTATCTTCTTCCTGCCCTCTTTTAAGAAGGGAGTGTGACATGATGGTTCATTACAGTGACTTTGGAGATGCACAGATTGGACTTGAATCTTGTATATTCTTAGGCTTATTGCTTAATCACATTTAGTCCCAGCTTCCACATATATAAAATAAAAGAAATACTCATGCCTCCTTCATAGAGCTGCGAGATTAAAAGAGGTGATGCCATCCAAAGACAGGAACAAGAATGTTCATAGCAGCTTTATTCAGGCTATCCCCCTAATTGGAAACAACCCAAATTCCCAGCACTGGGAGAAAAAAGATATTATGATGTATTCATGCAATGGAACGCTACTCAACAAGGAAAAGAAGGAGACAAACTACTATTACACTCAACAGCATGGATGAATGCCACAGATCTGTTGAGTGAGAATCTAGAACAGACAAACCTAATATATAGTGCTAGAAATCATTGTGGGGTATTTCCTGGGCATGACATCAGGGGACCTTCTGGGGTGATGGGTCTATGGTTCTGTTCACTGTGGGTGGTGATTGTGTGGTTATGTACACATACACAGACTAAGTTTTATACTTCAGATGAAAGCATAGCTCAAAATGAAAACAAAAGCAATTGCAAAGAATTTGGTACAATACCTCCTCTAAAGGACACTCAGAAAGCACTCTCTTTTGCCCTGATCTCCTTGTGAACATGCCCTTTTGTGAGCAGAACCACCTCAGAAAAGAAGACTGACTGACTGCTGCCATTTGTTCCCTGGTAATTTCTGTTTCAAGAATAACTGGATCATAATCATTCAGAAAAAGGATGCTTGAGAAGGTGTATTCTCTGATGGATCTTTTTCTTCCCTGTACTTCTTTCTCAACTCTGCCCTTGGTTTCTGCCCACTCGTGCAGGCTATGCAGTTACCGCTGGCCACTTCTCACACCCGTCCTCCACCGACGTGGTGGGAGGCGCCCCACAGGATGATGGCATTGGAAAGGTGAGGAGGGGGTCTGTGGTACAGCATGGGGTCAGGTGGGAGGGGGAGGAGTATGCTGCCCTGAGATAGAGGTTTGTCAGCTTAGATTGCTGAATGACTGGCAGGTAAGTGATGAAATGGTTAGGAACCTCCTGTCTGTCACCTTCCATCACTTTTGACAGTTTCTCTTAAAAGCTTAATTAGTGTGCGTATAACTCCCAAACCTTTTTGTTTTCTGCACATCTAATTTCAGGATGTTTTCATAGTTGACTATGGAATTATTTAAGAATGTCTTCTGTGTGACTGTGAAATTACTAAGACTGACCCCTAGTGTCATGGCATTCTCTAAAGGAGAGGTGTCCAGGGTTATCCAACTTCAAGTCCTCTGTTCTCCCAAACCCTTCCCAACTTTGACTTGGGTTTAATGGAGCTAGGTCTAGTCCCAATTATTTTGTGATTTAATTTATTCACCCTTAGAACCAAAACTGGTTCAGCCCAGAGACTGAACTGGTACTGTGTGATACACTGTCTCTGGAGTATCTGCCCAGAGTGTAGTAAAGATCTCGGGCTGCCTGAGTCCCTCTGTGCCCTCTGTGAATTACGACCACAGTACAGAGAACTGTGCTTGTTGGACTGTTAGCTCCAGGGTGCGGGAGTTCCAGATGAAGTCCAGATGAATCAGGAATCTGCATTTTTGACAAGCTCTATAGACTGTCTGGTGAGAAAGACTGAACACAGCAATGCTCTTTGGATCTCACCCATCCCATAGGGGTGAGCCTAGTGTAGAGTCCAGTCATTCACCAGGTTCTTGGAGGCCTGAGATCTGGATTCTGGAAAGCTTGAGGTGGCTGGGACTACTGTTATTAGAATTTTCCAGGCATGATGTCTGCATGTCAGCTGATGAGACTTGACTGCAGTGTACTCATGAGGGTTGTATCTCCCTGGATATTCCTGGGGAGGAGGTGGGAGCTGCTGTCACATTCCCAAGCATGTATAGCTTGCCCTGAACACTGATGCTATGGAGGGAGAGTCTTGAAAATGAAACCAGATAAAAACCCAGGACTCTGAGCAGGAGGGAGTCATACAGATGAACTCTGATAACTTTCCGAAAGAGCTGGGTCTTTCTGAGTCACGTGAATTCTTATACGTGCTAAAAGGAAGAAGCACCAAGAACTGTCTCCACATTGATAATATCTCCTGGGAGTTGCAGACATCTCTGTAGCCTTAGTAAAATGCTTACTTCCTAGTTCACAGTGATGAAGATGCCTCAGGCTGACCACAGCAGCTTTCTCTTCTTACCAATCACAGGAAACTCCATGCAATTTTATTGCCTTCTCTTCAGAAGGTTGTGATAACTGTATAGTCCTGTCAAGTTCCAAGATGAAAATGGTATTTATAATCGATAAAACCAGACAGAGGGAATCCTGAATCCTGTTAGCAATAAAGAATATGAAATGCTTCTTTGGTTGGAACACATGAAACACTGCGGAAATTGGTTGTCTTTGACAAAGTTGCTGATACTCTATTCTCAGGGAAGAGGCTGGAATAGGGACCTAACTCCCCAAGACCCCAGAATGGACTCTAGCCTTCGGAGTTGTTCATTTCTCGTGTCAGGAGCTGGACATTAGCATTAAGACGGTGGTCCCTTACTCTGGTTCTCATGGGACATTCTTCATAACATGTAAATTAAAAAGAACTTCCATAGTCATATCACCGGTACCCTTTAGAAAATTCTGCACAGTGATACTCATTGGTGGTGGAGATTCATGGTGTAAAGACCCAAAGTAAAGAAATTTGTTTAATGTTTAACTCTCTGACATTTCCTAAACTAAACTTATATTCACCCAAGCAGATCTCATGACACCATGAGAAAATGCTCATGACACCATGGGAAAATGCTTTGTCTAAGATACATCCCTTGCTCCCCCCGTCTTATATTGCACACCTGCTAAGCTCTAAATAAAGGAAGAAAGGAAATAGTCCATGGAAGAAAATACTTTATAGAAGAGATGACTTATTTACAAGTAATCTGGAACTCCTGGGTCATCTTGTGCTGCCATGAAGGATGTGGTTCAGGATTGAAGGACATTTTCTTTGTAGATTTGGTAAAATGAGAGCTGGCTTCATTATTAGCAGTCAGTGTAAGTGCGCCTGCTGTGGAGGTAGCTGAGAATTGTCTTTGGTCATGGCTTCTGTCGTCACTAGATTTCTTTTTTCATTCCATAGGTTTATATTTTTAGAGCTGACCGAAGATCAGGTACCTTAATTAAGTTTTTTCAAGCATCAGGTAAAAAGGTGAGATTCTTGGTCTAAATGTTTCTTGTTTGTTTGAGAGATGTCCTCATGTGGGATTCAGTTCTTACTTTTTAGAAAATTGGTTCATAGGTCTTATCGACATCCTACGTTTATAGAGCTTTTCTACTTAGCCACGTGGGGACCTCTATCTTCTCAGCATTGTGTGTAATCTGCAGATTCTCCAGATTGATGGTGGTTGTAGAAGACATGTAGCAAGATGAGTTTGCATGTAGCCAAGTACAGCAGTTTAAACTTAGATACTAATTGAAATTACAGTATGCTGTGTCTCTCTCTGCCCCTGTGTCTCTCTGTCTCCCATACATACACCTCTCCACCTCCAGAGAGATCAGGCACAGTTGAGTACAGGTAGCAAGCCCACAATTTACAACGGGTTACTTTCAAAGGAGGGAACGTACCCAAGTGGTTCTCACTCTCCCTATCTCATCAACCCAACACTGTCCCCTCCTCTGCACACCCTGAGCCCTCTGCCACCATTGACATGGGGACTGCTTGTCACCAACGGAAACTGAACAAAAGTTAACTAGTTCCATTTACAATATTGATAGAAAAATAGCGCAGCAAGGCTGCCCTGAAATTAACCTTGTTTGTGTTGTCACTTTGTCCTCATCCTGGCCCTGATTCTAGTTCCTGCAAGTTCCTGCTCCCCAGTTCTACTTGCACTGTACCGTAGTCAGCAGTTAAGCCAGTTGGAGAATTCTTTTATTAGTAAGCATGGGGTTAGCAGTCATGCATACTTTAGTGTAACTTAAATCAGAAGATAGTTTAGCAAGATTGGTAGCTCTAAGGAGACACCAATTCAGGTTGTGAGGTGAAGGGGGTAATTTGGAGGCTTGTCTTGGTGGAAGCCTTTGTGAGCTCTGGGAAGCAGGACAGGATGCCTGGGGCTTGCAAGGGAGACTGGAGGAGAGAGGAGAATGTCAGGAGAGGAGGTGATTTTACCCTCTGCTACCCTGAGGAAAGGGGAGGGGGGTGATTTTTTCCTTTCTGGGCATGCCATGTACCCCAGTCCTTGTCAGTCCTTGCTATGGATTACCTCTGTACATCAGCCTGGCACCACTGTGTTTTGTTTTAGTGGTGAATCTTATTTTGAGTTCCCTAAATCCCATTTACAACTTTTTTATTTTTGCAGTGTTGAAAACCTTAATGTGATGTTAATACAAAATATATAATTGTCATAATTTTTTCAATAAAAATGCACCACCAAACTCAGTTTGGTGAGGTTTTCCCTGAGAACAGCTCTGCATTCCCCCCCAGAAGCATTTGACCTATGTTATTTTAATATTCCAAACCCCAGAGCAACAACACTGGAAAATGACTATGATTTATTCTATATAAAAAAATGGTTTTCTAAACATCCTTAAAATTAGCAAAGAAATAACTCCATGCCATGAGGACCAATGGAGTCCCAAAGAGCATGGAGGGCGTTGAATGCTGCTACTCCCCCCCTCAAATGTACCCAGGCTTGAAAGGATTCTTCTCTTGCCCCCCAGCTTTGAAAGATAACTGAGGCATAGCATGAGTTAGTTTAAGGTGTGACGTGTGATGATTCAGTACATGTATATATTTGCAAAGTGGTCTCCACAATAAGGTTTGTCAGCACATCCATCACCTCACATTATTGTCTTAAAGATTCTTTAAAATGACCTGTGGTGGAGCTTAAACTCACTGATCACCCTGTTCTTGGAATAGTTTCCTATTCAACTATAGCTGTTCCTTCCCTGCTGCCTACACAGTTAAAACAGGTCATCTTGGCATAATTGCCAACCTGTATTTGTGCCCTTTCTCTTCCACATCTGCCCAGGTTTGGAGGATGACTTATTTGGCCACCTCTCTATGACTGGGTTTGCTGTCATTGAGTTCTAGGACAGTCCAACTTGCATCTTGGGTCTTCGCACTGCCCAGCTCCATAGCTGTGCTACTTTTCATTTTCCTTAGGGCTCTGCCTGGCCCTACCTGGGTAGTTAGGGTTATTCCTTTGCCCTGCTGCTTACTTACTCCTGCCTCCTGTTTCATTGCCTTCTAGCTTTACCATCATCACCTTTCTGCATTTGAAATAGGCCATAATGCTATGCATCCTAGTCATTTAGCCAGAAGAAATGAGACCTTCTCACCTTGGTAACTTCTCCATTGTTTCATAGGGGAAGGACATGGCCCCCGGCTTTCAAGGGATGCCTTAACTTTACCTCTGTGTCGAGAGCCACACACATGGGAGGGTTCTGACTCAGAAAACCACCAATCCACTTCTGCTATTTTTTGGCCAGAATTCTACCGGATAGCCCTGTCTCCCTGTCTTACTGTAAAGAAAACAGCAACAAAATGGCTCTGTTCTTTCTTGGTTGATACCCTTGAAACCACCAACATGTGTGCAGTTCAGATGTGAACACAGACACACATCCCTGCATCTCCAGGCCAGTGGGATTGCTCTGGTCAAGGCACACTCATCCCAAAACATGGCATTGCCACACTGAGGTGTTTCTGAGTTAACTGAGTATGTAAAATGTTTGTATGTAAAAACTTAGATAGGAAACTTCATGTACTGTGATTTCTGATTTAACACTGATTGATGAAGATATCATATTAAATAGCCCACTGAAATGAAACAGATAGTTCCCCTGGGGCTCAGCCAGAGAGAACAGCTGGAAGCTTTAGGCTTCATCTCCTTTCCTGGCTCTTACTGGTTTCTTTTACTGAAGTACATACAGATGGGGAGGTTGGCAAGGCCACTAAATGGGTGACTGGCAGCTTGGTTTCTGTGCTCTCAGCTTCCATGATTCTGCACCTTCCCCATGCCCTTGTCCCTTGGGAATGGGAGATTGGGGGATGGTGGTCAATTGAATTAAGTGGCCTGGCATGTGACTGGGTAAGACTTCTGTGTCCTCTTGGCCAGGGGTTTTAGCTGCAGGAAATGGACAAGGGTGCCCTTCACTTCTCTCAAACTCCCCTAGATTAGCTGCTAACAAATTCCAACAGTGGGGGAAAAAAGCATAGTCATATCATTTTAAAACCAGAGTCATTTTATTTGAAAACATTTATTTTAAAAGTTGGTGTATGTTTTTTTTTTTTTTTTTTTAGAGTTTGCAAACTGGAAAAGATATAGGCTACAAAAATTTTTGTTTGACCTTCATAGTATGTTTATTTTTTAATGTATATTAAACATAGTATGTTTATTATTTTTAATATGATTTAGCTGCCAGCATTTAAAAAATAGACACTTCAAGTAAAATTGTACATTTTTTGCCTCCTCTTAAAAACTGGACAGGGTCCCTTCTGCTAACTCAGCCTGCCTTATAGGGAGTAGTTGACTACAGGTGCCTAGGTTGCTCCTTTGGTGTGGTCTGTTGACTCCAGTTTACAATATTCTCCACCATTCCCTACTGTTTCTTAAAATTGAAGTCAAACGTCACCTGTAAGCATACTTGCAGTATCTGTTTTTTCTAATACCTGTATATCACCTTGGACCCAATGGTGTTTTAGGTAGATTTTGAGACCCCTGATTTAAAATAATAGGCAATGAATTAAGCTATGATTAAAGAAGAGCCAGTATAAATTAGTTGTGTTCCTTCATTGAATTGTACCTTTTTCTGTCACCCTAGCTCTTACCTTCCTAACCAATCTAGCTATGTACAAACTGGGGGAGGGTAACCTATTTCCTCTTAGAACGTTTATTTTCATCTTACCTCGTGTTGTGAAACTTCACATTCCTACTTGCTTTGTCCTTGCCAAATGTCTGATCTACGAGGTAATTTTATTATGGTTGTAACTTATATTTGCAACCTCAGCTTACATTCTGAAAAACAGTACCTGATTCGCTGGGGATCAGTCCATTTGTTTTCCCCTTGGTGGGGCTCCAGGAAAGGGGACTCTGAGCCAGTTAGCTTTGGTCAAGGGTTGCTTGGGGCCCTGCTTGGCTGCTGGAAGGCTTAGGGAAGTTGGGTATTTCACTTGCTTGCCTAGGCATTCGGTTTATGGGGCCACCGCAGCCTCTTAGGGGCTGGGGTGCAAATGTTCCTAAAGCCCATGGGCTGGAGGAAAGCGAGGGCCTCCTTGCGTGAGGGCAGACACTGAATGCTCTGTTGCGACTCGACTTGGTTGCAGATGGGCTCTTACTTCGGCTCCTCCTTATGCGCAGTTGACCTGAACGCGGACGGCCTCTCCGATCTGCTGGTGGGCGCCCCCATGTTTTCTGAGATCAGGGATGAGGGGCAGGTCACCGTCTATATCAACCAAGGAAATGTGAGTACAGTGCTGGGTACAGTGGGTGGGTGTGGGAGAGAGATATTGGCAAGCAGTGGCTGAGCACTCCCCAACTCCCTGGTCAAGCACTGGGTGCCACTTGCCAGAGGAGGGGAAAAAAACCTACGTTCAAAAAGTGAAATGTTCCATTCCTGGGAAGTTTTATATAGTGTTGCTGTGTGCAAGAACAATCTTAATGGTTAGCCTGTAGTGCTTACTACTGATATATACTTACCATGTGTGCAGGAGCTGTTCTTTCTGCTTCCGTAAGTGATTTCAGTGTAATGTGCACATGGTATCAGGGGTTCCCATATCTCAGGTGGAAAAACTGAGTCCCAGGGAGTCGTGACTGGCACTGCCAAAATTGCTGGTACACACACCTTTTTTAAAAAAATTAATTTGTTAATTTGTTTTATTTTTTACATCATTGTTCCTTTTTAAACAGTATTTGCTTCTGCCCACCCCCTCAGGTGTAGTCCCCATAGAGTTTCCTTCACCATTGCACCCGTGCAGCTGGTACACACATCTTTAAATCACACACAGGCAAGAAGAAATAGAAATATGGACGTCCTGTTAAAACAGTTTTAGGGGGGGATATTATGCCACAAGGAAGGCTGGGAGTATGATAAAGCAGTATGGCCACAAGTGGGGAGAGGACAGCCTCTCTAATAAATGGTGCTGGGAAAGTCGGAAAGCCACACATAAAAGAGTGAAGTTGGATTACTTGCTAACCCCATACACAAAAATAAACTCCAAGCTGATTAAAGGGTTAGACATAAGACCTTAGTAACAAAATACATAGTACAAAGTATTGAATTATGTGCGGCAAAATAAGACAGAATGATAAAGACTAATCCTAGATGCCTACATAGCAGACAATTTGATACTGCAGAACACTTTCAAAAAGGAGTGGACATCCACGAACATCCACGAACGATCTGAGGTTAACAAGGGGGCAGGAGGAAAAGGGACAAGGGCCACGAGGAATAGTGGTAGAGAAAAAATAAAATGTTAAATCACCACTTTCAACATCTAATTTAAAAATTATGGGGAGGGTCAGTCATAGCCCCTTCTATCTTCATTGTGAAATCCAAGCACCTGTAATTGTTTGGCTTTGTATGTGACTCACACAGAACATTCATTATCCAAAGGAAGTTGTCCTTTCCCCCCAAATGTTCAAATGATTGCTCTTTATAAGTAGCTAGTTAGCATGAACATTCTGTGCAATTTAGAGTAATGGACTAATCTTCGTTCTTATGTTATCCGCCAAGTGTTCATGATTCTATTATAATGAGTATTTTGCTGTGGTTCGGTATTTAATCTTTGTGATACAGAGATTAATCGTTTCCCGTCTTAGTTAAGGAGTAGTGCAGTTCGTGTATGCTTGCAAAAAAAAAAAAAAAAAAAAAAACAGAAAAAGGGAAATTTGGGAGAGGTTTTTACTGTGGGACAGGTAGTTAGGTGGGTGGGTTTTTTATAGTGTTAGAAGAAGGAAGATTTAGTCAGTGGCTGACGTGAGGTTCTCCTTCCCCTGCGAGGCATTGCAGGTGCGGGGCGGCAGAGGGGGGCTCTTGCTGAACAGGTGGGAAGGACCCGTTCTGCCACCAGGAGAGAAGTTTGGGTGCCTGTGATTCTGCCCAGGTGTTTCCTGCTGCTGGGTATGCTCAGGGGCAGCGTTCTGAGCTCTGGGTTTTATTGTTTTTTTGGTTTGTTCTGTTTGTTTTTGTTTTGTTTCCCACTCTTCCTTCATCCTGTTTCCCAGGGAGTCCTGGAGGAGCAGCTGGCCCTGGCCGGGGATGGCGCCTACAACGCACACTTTGGGGAGAGCATCGCCAGCCTGGGCGATCTTGATGACGATGGCTTCCCAGGTCAGTGAGCCTGCTCCTGTCCCCCTTTTTAAAAAGTTATTTTTTTATTGAGATAACGTTGGTTTACAGACTATGTGATGTAGGGTACACCCTCCTCAGGTGTGTGTTGCCACATGGTGCCCACCACCCAGGCACCCTCATGCCTCCACTGCGGCCCATTACCCGCCTCACGTAGGCTTGGCAGCCTGCCCTCTAGCTCTAGGCTCCTGGATCCACCTGCCCGCTCCAGAGGCCCACCATGTACTCTGAGAAGAGAGGTCTCTGTTGGAAAAAATGTCTGTGTAGACTCTTGGGACTAAGCTCTGAGCCCACTGGAGTTTTGCTTCTGTGCAGCCCCTTCTCATCAGCTCAGTGTTCTTTGCTGTGTGTGTGTGGTGCAAGGGGATGTTGGGGTTGAGTCTTGGGGCTTCTTATGGCAGAGAAACGTGATGGCTCTACCACAGGCTTTGTTTTGGAGCCCCTGATGTTCCATTGCATTTTGAGTGGACAGAGGAGAGAGTGAGACATTGCTTCTCTCCCCTGATAGTGACAGCATCCCGGGTTGACTTGGGAGAATTTGACTTGCTGTCTGCTTCTGTTTGCACAGCACACCCTCCCCAGCTCTGGCCTCTCTCTCTGGTCTGCTTGAGATGCCATCACTCATTGTGCACACGGTGTACACATGTTGGCACCCATGGGACCCCTGACACTAGAAGGGTGACTGAGGGGAAGATGGACTGGGCTGGCTCTTGCCTCAGGCCGGACATCCAGGCCCCTGTGATTTCCTTATGCCACTGGCCAGAGTGAGCTTTGTCAGAGAGAGAGGGAGGGAGCGTGTGTGGATGCATGGCCCTTGCCCCTTGACCTCACTTCTGCAGACCCATGACTTTTGTTTTGTTAGAAGAAAAGGAAAGAAAGGAAGATGTAGGTTTTGTTCCAGGAGTTGTCAGTTTGTGAGAATACTGTGGACATGTGTGTGTGTGTGTGTGTGTGTGTGTGTGTGTGTGTGTGAAGTGAATGCCACGTTATACAATTCCCTTATCCAGAAATAGAGTTGACTTTCTCAATTATGCAATAACCAGTGTCTATGGAATTCCCCTCTATAAGAGACAGAAATTAAAGTGGGTGGCTTACATTTGCTTTCCTTTTATTGCCTCGGTCAATGATTTTTCCTCTGAGGACGAAGCAGAAACCTTTCCAGAACTAGACGCATCTCAGTTTCTATAATTTCTCTCTACTTTTTTCCCCAAGTCTTGTTCTAATATTACCTTCTTTTTTTTCTCTTTTTTTAAAATCTATTTTTCAATTGAAGTAATGTTGACTTACATTAATTTTCTCTCTACTTTTATTTTTTCCTGCTAAGAGGTTTTGTGCCCAATTTAATGCTGGAAAAGTGAGCAACCAAGAAATTCCTGGTAGGGAGGACTTAGACTTGAGATCAGGTGTTAGGAAACCTGTCCTTATTGTAATAGCTACTCTGACCCACAGCTGTTTCTCTTCCCTCAGATGTGGCCATTGGTGCACCCAAGGAGGATGAATTTGCGGGGGTGGTCTACATCTACCATGGAGACGCCGGCGGGGTGGTCCCTCAGTACTCAATGGTAATTGGTGTGGGAGTGACATGGTAACTGCTTGTTCATACATTCATTTGACAGTCCTGTAGGGAACATGGGCCAGGTTCTAGGGCACAGAGGAAACCATGACATTGTTCTGCCTTCAGCTGTCCTATCTTCTAGTGAAAATCAAAGTATTGATATTGTGTAGTAGACGCAAAATCATTTTCACAAACTCCCAAGTATGCTCAATTTCAGGGATGCCTTCTGCCTGCAAAAGATAGGATCCAAGTTCTTACCCAGACAGAGTCAGAGCTTCTTCTTTAAGAAGAAGCTTTTTTGTTTTTGGTTATTCCTGTCCACCATTTGTGCAAGTCAAAGGACTATGTCGCAAAATATAATCTATATAGATGGTGGTCCACAGAGGAGGCCAAGAGTACTCACAGGACTGTTGTCACCATTGGCTTCAAAAGGAGATGCTGGTTAAAGCTCTGGCCTTGTGCCCCAGATTTGGGGACGTGGAAGTGGTGACTTCTGTTTTTTTGTCACGTCAACTTGGTGTTCAGTCTTGCTGATGGTGTCAAGCCAGCCCATGGGAAAAAAGGAAGTCACTCTTGACAGAAGCACTGTCAGGATATTTGTGGTGTCTGCATGCAGAGTGGCACAGACCTGTGTCTTTCACCTAGTGGGTCAGTGACAAGAAGGGACTGAGCACAGATCGAAAAATTTCCAACCAGCAGAAATTGATTTATTGAACCTTTGATGCTTACCACCTCCTGCTCACACTTATATTTTTCATCCCTGAGAAGCTTGCCTTGTGTCTTAGTTACTGCTAAGGAAACAAAACTTTTGACTGAGTTTTGTTCTTAGCTGTAAAATGAAATCAAAACTGGTTATTGTACTAAATACTCTAGGTAAGAAAGGCTTTATGAGCCGATTGTAAGAGACATGGCATGGATATAAGTTCAAGTTGTATATTTGTAGTTGTTCTTGCAGCAGATAGTGCTAATTCAGAGCTAGGGCTTGGTTTGCTGCCAGTGGAGCCCCAGGTTCCCTCTGTGCTGGGGCTTCCTGCTCAGACTCCCCACCATTCACCTTGGCTGTTGGAGGTGCTGGTGAGAGGAGGAGCCTCTTCCTGAGTGCCTACTCTACTCTCTTCTCATCGTCACTCCTCCTAGCAGTGGGATAGGTGCCTTTGCCATCCTCCTCTGTTCACAAGGGGACTGGAACCCAGGGAGGTTATTTAACTCGCCCAAGGTGAGAAGCTAGTAAGTGGCAATATGGCCACTGGAACCTGCCAGTCTGACTCTCAAACCTTTTATGTAACCACCATCCTCAACTCCACTTTGGAAAATGGAACACTCAGGAAAGTTCAGTTGGAAAACTTAGGGATGTGAAAATTTATTCTGTCCTTACACATAATACACCAAGGACATTTGCCCACATGGCCCATCTTCTTTTCATTAGAAATAGAGACCCATGAGAACAATAAACTCTTAGGTGGTTCAGCTGATTTGGCAGGCAGGACAGAAGGCACCTTCGGGCACAGGCTAGGGGCCACATCTATCTCACAAGTGTCCTCTGGTTTAAATCAAGGATACTGTTCTCAGTGTGACAAACTGAAGGTCATTCAGGGAGTCTCGTCCTCGGGCTGCTGTCGGGGTCACCCTCCACACATCCTCCTGGAAGCTAATCGCACACAGAGTCAACCTGTGGGAGACCCCCACTTCCCCTCCCCTGGGAAGGGGAATGTTTTGTTTTGTTGCTGGGTGGAATCCCCACAGAGAGCCGAAGTCTAAATTTTGTGGTTAGCATAGAGTGTGTTCAGTAGGAAGCAGCAATCAGCAGCTGGACCCATCCTGCCTTTGTCAGCATGAAGGCAGGCTCCTTGGCCATGACAAAGAAAAGCGGTTTGGGGCTCTTTAAAAAAAAGAGCGAGAAAGAAATAGCTATGAGTAACCTTTTGCAAGCTATTATGTGTATATGATAAAGTCTGTGACTTAAAAGGAAAAAAGTCCTTCAAGGGTGGAACCATCAGGGTGCAGGGCTGGACAGAGCAGGCACTGTGTGGGTGAGCAAGCGGAAGATGTCTGCAATGACTCCGGGCAAGGGGGTTGTTTTTCTTTTCTTTCTTTTTTTTTTTTTTTAACGATTTATTTATTTATGCATACAAGAGCTGGGGTGTAGGCAAGAGATGCAAGGGTGAGAGGATTTACCAGAGACAGAGTGGGGAACAGGACAGGCAAACTGACTGAAATACACTGCTGAGGGGAGCAATGGGCGAGGCAGGAGAGGTCTGCTGCACCATCTGGGTCACCTCCCTGGTCAGGGATCGAACTCATGCTGCAGTGGCTGCTGATAGCTCCATCGTCCTGTGTCTAAATCCCTTGTGCCACCAGGGAGGCCCAAGGGATTGTTTTTCTTTGGCTCAGTTTGGTGTTGTTTCTGCTGGATAAATTGTGAGAACAGAGCCTAAAGTTCTTCTACATTACTCTTTAACTCTTTTTCCTGGAATTCAGCATGAACAGTGTTGATTTTAAGATCCTTGTGTGAAGTTCTCTATTTGAGAGCCCTCTGGGTGTGTAATGGCGGCCCCTGTGATCTCTCTCCTGCTGTAAGGACACTGCCTGTAAACCTGGTCAAGCAGAGGTCTTCTAAAGCTCCTGGTTTTCATTTAGGGTTATTAGCACCGAGCAGACTTATCTTCCTGGCTTTATGTTGTAATGGCCTACAGATGTCTGTGGGCACCACCCCAAATGGACCACCCCTTCTCTCTTTCCCCTTGTCCCAGCCACAGAATGCCTTGGAAATGCAAACCCAGGGCAAGCTGCTGCTCGCTTGTTAGACTTCAGAGCCTAGAAGGGCTGCATCAAAATGTGGCTTTTAAAAAATAGGCAGACATACACACACGTTTGTTTAGACAGAGCCCTGTGGGATGTGGGGCTCTGCCTGTTAGCAGGAATCACTGCTTCAGGTTTCCTTCAGTGCTCTGCTGTGTGCTGGGATGCCCTCATGCCTCCTGCTGGGTGACCTAACTCCAGATGGCAAGTGGACAGCTATTTGCAGTTATTGGCTGCTGGGGGGTAGAGAATGTCCCTGGTGACTCCATCTGCAGATCCTGTGGAAACGACCCCTCCCCACACGCTTCCTGACACTTCTGATGGTAACTCAGGGAAAGGATAAGGAGAGAAAGTTGACAGTGAGCCTCTAGATACCTGTAAATTTGGTTCTGAGGAGGATTTGGCTGCATGGCAAGAAACCAAAACGTGACTCTTATCAGCAGTGTGTGCTCTGGGAGGCTAGCCCGCTCACAGAGCCTGGATATATTAAAAAGAAGCAAGAGGTCAGGTCCCAGAAAATGGGAGTCAGTTTGGTATCGTTGTAAGGAACTGTGCCACATGAACATAGGATGTGTGCAGAAGGCTGGTTGTCAACACATGCTGTTGAACCAGTGAGACGTGTCTTAATGTATAGCACGTGATGAGTAGAAGAACCCGTGTATGATGGTGCTAGAGTTGTGAACTCTGAATGGTTGGCCTGGGGCTGTCTTTTAAGGATGGTGTCTTCAGCTGAGTTTTTTGTTTTTGTTTTTAATTTCCTGTAGTCTATAGAAGGTTCAGGACCATGGCATTTGAGAATTACCAGGTAGAACTCTGTTTCATCCTGTCTGTGAAGCTCAGAAATCTTTGGATCTTCTGGCTCCCTTGATGAAGAGATAGTTTCCATGTGGCCGTCTTTTCCAGCTGGCGTGTCCACATAGGAAAAGACTACATGTGTGTCTTTGGTGGAGGAGAATTTACAGGTCTAGTACATTATTTGGGGAGACAGAGCAGAGGAAAATATGTTCTTAAAATTTTGGGCAACCATATGTGTGTGAAAACTAAGCAGAATCTCTGTTAGAAATAGAAGTTAAACAATATCCATTTCAGACTTTGCTCAGCAAGTCAAAATGTTAACACTCTAATCTGGGTGGATTTTTCAGTAACACTGAAAACTTAGAAATAATTTTACATGATGACATTTGACCTAAGCAAGAAATGATATGAGCTATGTGGCCTTCCGTTGCCTGCTAAAGATCCCCAGATCAAATTAGCAATTTCAGAACCAAGAGTCCTAGGGAAACAGGGCTAAAACTGTCATGGGTTCTTACTTGGGACTGTGCTCCTTCCTGTGACTCAATTTCCCCTTTATCTGTTTCAGAAACTGTTGGGGCGGAAGATAAATCCAGTTCTCCGGATGTTTGGTCAGTCCATATCGGGAGGAATTGATATGGATGGAAATGGCTATCCTGGTGAGCTGCTTTGCTTTCAAACATCTGCGATTAACAGAGATAAGGGCATGAAGTAGAATAATTTCCAGTCTGGTAAACCACGGTCACATCTCCTTAGGATTAGGAAACGTCACACTATAGAGTGAGGTATTTTGCCTACTGTTTGATTTTAAAGTGGAAACACTGAAGTTTATTTGGGGGATTTAACATCTATTCTGAAAGGTTTGAGCACTGGGAGGGTGGAGTTTTTTTTTAAAGATTTCTTTATGCATTACAAGAACTGGGGTGTAGGCTAGAGGTACAGGGGGTGTGAGGGGGTAGTATTTACGGTGACTTCTGTGATCTCAAGTCTTTCTAATGAAGAAAAGCACTGTCCATGTTAAAAATGGTCAAGAGTGAAACCTTGTGTTGTTCTTGACATTTAACCGTATTCAGAGGTTCCTTACTCTTGAGAGGGAAAAAGGAGTCAAGTAACATTTTTCCCTGCCTCCAACCCCCACAAGAAAATTATTGAAAGTAAGTTTTGGAACATTAAACAAAAAAAATACCCATGTCCTATCTCTGACCGATAAGACAGACCTTGAACATTCAAGGCTGCCTGACTTGTCTTTAGGGTTAATTAATGCCCTGTAGTGGTTGAGGCTAATTGAATAAAAACCCTATCCCCAAGTGATACCTGGTTTAGGTAAAATTGATGGAGCACTGGAATAGTGTTTGGTGTTTGGAGGGGTGTGAGGTGAGATGAGGAGAGAAACAATGATAAAACTTTGAAAAAAAATCCAAAATCATCATGGAATTCAGAAAAAATTTTCCTGATTCTATAGTTCATCTTGTTGTTGAGAAAGTATTTCTTTCCACTTAACATGCCTCCCAGAAGGCTCTAGGAAAACTAATGTATTCTTGTATGAAGACACCAAATTTTGTAATTTCTTACAGGCATTTTGATGTTGTAACATCACAAACCCAGGAGGAGAAATAAGACTAGAAAGAGGCCAGTGTTGAGTTTTCTGTCCCAAGGTAGACCATATGGGTCTTCCTAAGTTTGAGAGAACTATTTCCCTTGTTTTGGGCAATTTGTGGTCATCGCTAAGTAATACCTTACATTGGGTTAGCACTTTAATATATGCAAAGTGCTTCCGCATGCCACGTGCATCTTATACCCAGGAGATACGGGGAGATGGGGGTGTGTTCCCACTTTACAGACAAAACTCCCAAATCTCAGAGAACTGAAGGGGCTGGCCAGAGACTGCATTTTGATGGACAGGGGCCCAGGCTGCTTCTCTGTAAATGCACCACAAGCATGTGTGTCCACACTTCATGATGGAGCTCAAGTTACTTCAATTTTTCATTTCTTTTATTCATTCATTAAGTTCTTAAATTCATTAAGTTCTTTTATTTTCAAATATATTTCAAATGTATTTTATATTCAAAAATATTTTCCAGTCAACTCAAAAGACAACTGGAAAGCAACAAAATTAATAGGCACACCCAAATGCAGCACTATGATCCAAAGATTTGCTACTTGTTTTTTTCCCTTGATGAGGGCATTGTATAGGTGTAGGGATGCAGACTCTTTTGCATTTAGATGCTTGTTCTGTGAGATAGTAATGGGAACCCCCAGGCTAAGGGGTTTAGAGTAAGGGGGGGGCAGCAGAAAGACAGAGAGCTGTGGAATGATTGGATAGTTCTTCAATTAAGCTATTTCAGAATAAACATTTCCAGTTAACATTTATATATTCGTTTATAGTTTACCAGGTGTTCTTATGAGTTTTCTGATTCAAATATCTGGTTTAATATATTCAATAATTATTTAAATAAATGTTTTAAAGCTCTAATATTTAACAAGTATTTAATAAATATTATGTTTAATAAAAACTTAGTAGGTATTTTCTGATTCAAGCAGTATGAAATATTATCAGCTTTGAAGAAGATGCTGGGGATAATTATCTCCAGGGTACAGAGATATTCTTTGAGAGTCTGAGGTCACATAGAGATCACATGTCCTACAGAACCTCTAGCTTACTGGTGTCCAAAAGAAATACAGTGTACATCATGCATGTAATATATAAATATATAAAGATATTCTAGCAATCTTTGTGTGTGAAAACACAAAGAAATAGATGGAAATAATTTTGATGTTTTATTTAGCCCAGTATATCCAAAATATTAGCATTTCAGTGAATACTCAATGTAAAAGTCATTAATGAGATAGTTAATGGTATATTTGGCACTAGGTTTTTGAAATCTGGTTTGTCCATGATATGTGCACTCAGAGTGCATCTCAGTCCAACACCACCACTGGTGATTGGCCACCATATGGCACAAGGTGGCTCTAATTCTTACAAAATTGTTACATAGCCCAGAGGATGGTTGCCCGGGGGTGGGGGGGGCAGTGGGGAGACTGAGCCTCCATTGCTGTGGAGCCCGGGTCGGGCAGGGGAGCAGGACGTGTCTGAATCTCTAAACTTCTGGTTTTCAGATGTAACTGTTGGAGCCTTCATGTCTGACAGTGTGGTTCTTCTAAGGTGAGATGCTTCTCTTTCTCTCCTTGGATGGTGTTCCTCATGGGGGGGGGGGAATGGGACCTGGTAGTAGGGGTACAGGGGAGCTTTTCACCACATTCAACCATCCCCTGTCCCCTTCCTTGCAGATGGGGGCGTTTAGTAAGAATTCTGCCTTTTCCCCTTCATTCTTATTATCCTCTACCCCTGAGTTTCCAGCTGGTGGACCTCGAATGGCTTTCAGGGGTGAGGTGTTCGCATCCCTGGAGCTTCTAGGCAGAGTTTGGGGTGGCCTAAGGCCTAGGGATGTTTGCCTTCCATTAATGTGCTCCACGCATGTTACCATTTCCTCTGGGTGTCAGGACATCCAAGGGTCGAACACCTACAACCCACCCTGTGAGTGCCCACCCCTCCCTGTGAATGCCCACCCCCAGGGACTGGGACCTCCTGCCTTTGGATAGCGCTTGGTTCCTTGGTGGCAGCAGATGTGAAGGACGCAGGGCTGGCAGAACCCATGCAGCCTGGACCTCTCTCCTCCAAAGGCAGCGGCTGCCATCCCTCCTGTGAACTGTCTCCAAGTATTTCTGTCTGTATGAGTCAGAGGAGGGAGAATTACACTTTGGAGTGGGAGCCAGCACTTAAGTTTGTTAATAACTTGATGGCAGAGCTTTCTCAAATAGGCTATGGGGATCTTAATGCTGGAAGTGATCCCAGAGGCCATGTTGTTCCCCACCCCAGGTTCTTCTGATTTGGCAGCACCTTCTTCTGAGTCCCCAGCACAGGGTTACACCTCCTCTTCTTGAATGAGGAGCCCCTGTGAATGCTTCTGTGGCTTAGTATCACCTAAGGGAACCATTAACTCAAAAATGTTAAATTGTTAGAGAAGGAATAACTTTTGAGATTGTGAGTACGAACACTGTGGCCAGGTAGCTGGGGTTCAGTCCTGATTGCCATGATATGATGTGCTTTCTGGGCAAATCTGTGAAACAAGGTGTAACGGTAGAAGTTAGCTCCTTCGGTCTTAATGGAACTCAGTGAGTTGGTACATGTAAAGTGCATAGAACTGGCCTAAATACTTAATGCATGATAGCAGTTTCACACAAGTGGTTAGCTTTGCTGTTCTGAAGTTCTGCTTCTAGCAGCCCTTCACGATTTGAAGGTGGCAATTGTGTCCTTCGGGGTGGTGACATTGCTGAGATAAATCCTCCCTGGACCTGTTGATGATCTCCCTGGATCACCATTCCTCTGAGCTGATAGTTTTCCTCTTGGGTAGAACCACTTTCATGAGGGTAGATGTGAGAATTGGGGGTGCCAGCTGGTGGCTCTTTGATGTCGTGTTCACACTCAGCACCATCCCTAGCAGCAGCTCATTCTAGCCAGCAAGCATTCTTCCTGAGTAAAGCATGCTCCTTCTCACAGTTGAAGACAGGCCATCTTAAAACTGGGAGCATCTGGCTTAAGGTAGAGCCTGCAGATTCTGCTTTTACATCATACTTGTATTTTGTAAGCCTCCAGCTGTGAGCTCCAACCCAAGGGGGCTTTCCTTGTTCTCACCTTCATGGTGAGTTTCTCTAGCTCATGCTTGAATATAAATGTAAAAAGTGAGGTGGTTCCAGCACGGATGGGAGACCTCATGTCCCAGCTTAGGGTGGAGGATTGGGTCTGTGAAGTGAAATCTAATAAGGACAGATGTAAAGTTTTTCAGGAGAATGCCTTGGTCAACTTTGGAGAGGAGAGGCTTTCAGAGGGGAGCTGGGGAACACCGGCCTGGATGAAGTGGTCAGCAGAAGGACACGATCACCACAGAAGTGAAATATCAGGATTTGAACTGTACACATCCCCAGAAAGTTTTCCAGCCACTGGATTTTAAAAAAATAGTCTTGAAAGCACTTACGGTGCTGTCTTGGGGTCCCCTTTGCTTTGATCTTGGAGGCTGGCACATCAGCAGGTGGGTCTGTGAAGCCCAGTTCCCGCCCCCCCTCCCCGCCCCACCTCTTCCCCAGGAGTGTGGGCTGGCCTGGCTCTGTCCTCGGGAAGTTTGTTCTCTCGGATTAGCTCTGGAGGGCAGGTCCTGGGTTAGGGTGATAGGCGCCTGGTGCTGAGCCATTGAAGGTCAGAGGAAATTATCAGAGAAGCTTATGAAAGATTTCAGGGCCTTCCTGGTCCAAAAACAATACTTGGAATTGAAACAAAAAGGTTTGAGGGAACTGTTCTGCTGGATGTTGGAGATGTGCTTATGAAGGCTCTTGTCTGTCATTTCAAAGGATTCCGTTTCAGCAGCCTTCGTTCCAGTAATGGGCCTTTTGTTTCCTGCTCACCTCGCCACCTTCCGCAGAGCTCTGCTGTGTAAGCAAGGTGCCAGGCTTCCTCCCTGTCTAGGGGGCCCCGGGGCGAATGCCGAGTCCTGTTTTTTGGGTGCCCTGGACTGGGTTGGCTCTCAGGGTGGAGACAGCTCCCCTGTACCTCTGGTTGGTGGAACTCAGGCCATTTCTGTGGTTTTCAAGCACTTGACCTGGAATAAAGTTTGCACCCATTTTACAGGGTTGGAAATCCCTGCTTTCCTGAGGACAGCAGGATGATTTCGCTAGAATTCCAGCCCATAAGGGACCAGAGGTGGATGGGAAAGGTTGGATGTGACCTCACTTAGTAAGTGAGGTGAGGCTCCCACGTAGTTGCAGGAACCACAGAGAGGAGACTTCCAGTTGCCAAGGGGTAACTGGGAGGACTTCCTGGGAGAGGGAGCACTGGAGTGGCTGTCAAAGAACCTGGGGCCTTTGGAGAGTGACCTTTGGGCCCCTTTATAATCACTTTGACCAGGAGTAGGGAGTTCATTTTCTAAGTTATTTATAGCATCTTCTAAGGATTTCTCCAGAAGAAAATTGGATGACCAGGATATAGAAATTCTTGGCAGCACAGCTGTTGTCTGACTTCCGTTAACCCCACAGATCTGCTCTGGGTGTCCCACAGCCTGGCATGGCTGTTCTCTCCCCACCCACCGCTCACAGCAGTGGTGGCAGTGGTAAAACCCCTGACCCTGTCTGAGCCACTTTTCTCCTTGCTTCCTTTTTTTCCCTCTGAGGTTTTCCTCTCCAAGTTGGTGTTGCTTGTCCTTCCCATCTGTCTTATCACCCTTGGTGCTTTTTGTGGGACCTTGTACAAGTGAGATCATTGTTCTCAAGTCACTATTGCCCCTTCATCTTGTGATGTCATCCCAAAGGCATGAAGGTCAGGCTCCTTCGAGGTCAGAGGGCCTCTGTGTGAGGGGAAAAGGTTAAGCTGCAGCTTAGGTGAACAGTCCCAGAGCAGATGTTTGTAGGGATAGCGAAAGAGTGCATTCACTCCCAGCTTCAGTCTGGCACCCCTGGGGAGTCCACAGAAGCAACAATCAGGTGGTCAGTCCCTCAAGTACTAGGGTTGGGGATCCCTCTCAGTTATAAGAGTGTGGCTGTTTCACCTGGTCCTGAGCTGGGTAGGTTGATTTCTTCAGCCCTGAAGTATTTGCTGTTACCAGCTGGGGCTCCACTAACCAAGTTCTATAATAAAAATAGTGAATTGATGGGAGTAAATGAAGGGGGAGGTTTGACGCACTGGAGGTGACTAGAGCCTTGCAGTTCATACTTTTAATGCCTGTAAATGCTTGGGGGGAATTCCTGCTTGTGCATCTATTTCTTCAGTCTTGGCATCTGCTGTCAGAATGACTCTTAAATATATTCCTATCTTCCTAGTAAAATGGAAATTGAAACTTAATTGGTGAAATTTTAAGTAATCACCCAACATCTGGTGGGTCATTTATGGCTTCGACCAGATGTGTTTTATTAACTAGCTTCGCCTTTATTATTAGGAAGCTAACTATCAATTTATTAGGAAATAGCCACGTCTAAAACCAGAAAGTATTTACAGAGCACCTTGGCCTCTCTCTTGGGTTATTACACACTTTGATTCAAGGCTGGGCCGTGGGCCTAGGATTACCCTCTTGGTTTTATTCTTGTCTGGCTCCAAGAGCAGTTCCTCCATGAGGCTTAGTCTCCTCCTTCTCTTGACCTTTAGGGCCAGACCCGTCATCACAGTGGATGTCTCCATCTTCCTCCCGGGCTCCATCAACATCACGGCGCCACAGTGTCACGACGGACTGCAGCCCGTGAACTGCCTGAACGTCACCGTCTGCTTTAGCTTCCACGGCAAGCACGTTCCAGGAGAAATCGGTAATGAGCCCCAGGGCAGCCAGTTCTGTGTCCATCGCTGTGTGTCCCGCTGGCTTTGCAGGCAGTAGGCCACATGCCAGGTGCCCTTGCCCGCTGAGCTTTCTTCTCAGCTTTGTTTCTCCAAATTACCACCACCTCTGGCCCTAGAATAAATTGTATTTGACGCCACGCATCCTTTCTCCAAATGTCTGTGTGGACCAGACCAAACCTCACAGGGGCACAGGTGGGACAGGTCTGTGGGCCTTGCGCAGGTGCCGCGGCAAGAGCCTGGCCTTCATAGAACATTTTATGTAATTAGAAGAGAAAATGTGGCGTGCTGGGGCTGTGGAGGCTCCCCATTGAGCTTGCAGCCCAAACAGATGTCAGGGGCTTCCATCCTCCACTGTGGACTCGGAGACCAAGGAGGACTGGTGGGCTTGGGAGGTGGAGTTTTACAAAGACTTAGGATTCTGAAGAGGGGGAGCTGTTTTGTCAGCTTCTGGTGATTGAAAGAGGCAGGTGTTACCCCAGCTGGGGGCAGCCATCCCTGCCTTTTCTATGAGTGGGGAAGGTTGACTAACTAGCCCGGCCCCAAAGACAGGGTCAAACCCTGGAACAGGATAGGATCAGAGTGGATTAGAATTCAGAGCACGTGATCACCCGCAGGAAATGAATCTGGAGCAATTATGTAGACTAATAGGTGCTTTGTTTTCGCCCAAAAGGCTGATTTAATATTAGAAAGTAGAGTTTCAGGGAGAAAAAGCCAACCACCACCAGCAACCACTAATAAAGACTTGGACTCAGTGACTTTCTGAGACAGTTTTAACGTCAGAGCCATTCTGCTCACAGCGCAGTCCCGAAAGCAGCGCCAGCAGCTCTTCATTAGAAAGCACGTGTGTGCACCCCCGACATGAAGAGACACACATACATGTGCTAGCTCATTCTTCAGGTGTACCTTGAGTGTCCTGCTTATTTAACAACATGCCAGTCCTTCTAGGCTCTCTCACTGACACTTTATCTTGCTCTCCAGGCGCATTGAATTAGTTCAACAGTGAGTCTTATACTTACTTATAGCCCCCTCCCCATGCACACTTGGAGCGTTCCTATTTGCTGTATTTGGTAGGTTATTTCTTGGCTCTGGCAATGCTGTTACCACCAATTTACAAGGAAAAATTGTTGAAGTCTTTTACCAGGCTTCAAAGATAACCTACTAAATCTAGCCAAACAGGAATGGATGCTTGGATTCAGATACAATTTGTTCTAGAGCCAGAGTTGGTGTTAAGTTGGGGAAGCAATGGTGAGCAGAAAAGAGAAGCCTCAGAGGGCAAGGGCATCTGGGCTGTGCCAGCGGGACTCATAGCGATGCTATTAGCAGGCGACATTATAGTCTCTCTCTGGTTTCTTCCCTTTCCCTTGGGACCTGGTGGGGTTCTAACCTCTGGGAAGAGAAGGGACTCTGTTCACCTCCTCATTGGCTGCTTTAATGATGAAAACCAAAGCCCCCACACGGTCACAGTTTTCAGGCCACTGATTAGCAAAGCCTCTAAAGAGACTGCTGTGACCTCTGCCCATATCAGGGGAGAGAGCGGTTCTTTTTGTGGGTGACTCTGTCTTGGTTACTCTAATAGGCAAGGTCTAGTAGGAAAACAGAAGCCATAGCAATTATCTTAACAGGAAAAAGTTAACAGTGGGAATTGGTCAAGCAGATCATGGAGGACCCAGTAGTAACTGCAAGAAGCTGCCAGCACTTCTAGGATGTCTCAAGGTGTGGCCCCTGATTGGCTGTAGCACCAATAGGCAGAGCTTATCAGAGATAGAAATTCTAACAACCAGAGCCTCTTGAAGGCAGGGCCCAGCAGGTTGGGTTTTATCAGGTTCTAGGTGCCTTAGATTTGAGAACCACTGGTCAGAGGAACAGGGAAAAATTTTCATTTAGGGTTTTCTTTGGGGTTATAGAACCTGTAAGCTACAGAAGGGGACCCTGCAGAGCTGGGACCAGGAAGGGGAACTAGCTGGTGCTGCTGGTGTCTTTGAGGGGTGTAGTAAGCCCAACTCTGGGGACATGTGTTGGGGGTACCTGAAACTAGAATTGACTGCTGTTGGAATCAGCTGCTGAGGAAAACTCTCGTTGGGTTTGGCTGACAGGACCAGGAAGCAGGCAGGATAGAGCAAGCCCTTCTCCCTCTGGCCTTGCAGTCTCCCTCGACCTCTCCATCTCTACAGAGCCTTACCGGGAGCCACTGGCAAAGCATAGGTGAGGTTGATGGTGTCCAGCCTCAGCATTGCAGGGCCAGGGGAGTTGAAACTGAGAAACAGCAGCTTCATAAACCAGCATAGCAAGTGTCCAGTCACTGAAGTGATGTTGGGTCATTCCATCCACAAGTAGTTATTCAGCTCCTAAAAGTGCCGGACAGTATTCCTGGGCTGACACAACAGAGAACGGTGAGGCAAAGCCCTGGAGCTTGCATTCTAGGGTGAGGGAGGCAGATGATCAAACCTGGGGCTCCCAAACTTCCTTTGCTGGCTGAGTTTGAACCCCTTTGAGTGGCAGACCCTGTGCTCAATGTCGGGAGCAGTTGCCCTCTCTGACCTCCAAGAACAGTTAGTCTCCTTTCATCAGGCAATTGATAATAAGAATTCTGCTCATCCCAGGACTTACAAATGACTGCATTCTTGGCCTGTGTCTCCTTGGAGCCTCCTGGCTGTCATAGGTAAGGGCGGCAAATGTCTGTCCAAAGGGACTCTGCTGCTTACCCATAGATTGGGACTTTGCTCCTTGCTGGTGAGCCTGAAGCTTAAATGTGCTGGTCAGTCTCTAGAAGCTGGGGATCAAACTGGCGATTTTGGACTCTCAGCAGGGTGCTAAATGAAAATTGGGGAAAAATGAGCCCTAAATGGTTGTGTTTTTCACCCTGATCCAGTGCCAGCATGTCTCCATGGCTCTTAGACTTCTTCCAGAGCTGTGAGCCAGCAGGAGTACCTGCCCTGTCTGGAACAACAGCAAAACCCTGCAGCATGGCACCAAGGCCACCTAGACCAGTAGCAGAAACAGGGTTGAAGCTAGATGACGTGCCCCCTACCCTTCCTCTGACTTTAGGGATATGAGTCTGCTCCAGAAAACATGTGGGCACAGAGAACATTCTCTCAGCTCCTTCTGGTCTCTCAAGAAGCAGCAAATCTGTGTTCTATGGGGAGTGGGGCTAACCTAGTCTAATAATTACCACTTCTTACCTTGGGGAGGAGGGAAGAAAGCTTAGGAAACGTAGTAAAGCAGAAATATCCTTTCCCCCATCTCTCTTGAGCAACTGTAAGGGAAGTTCAGAGTAACTCTGGAAGGACAATTTCTTCGTAGAATTTCACAGCTGAAATCATGTTCTGGTGGAGAATGGGAATGAATTAAAACTCACTAGGAGAGACCAGGACCAGAGTTGATGTGAGACAGCTGGCGTCCTCCTGGTCCAGGCCAGTGTGGGGGGCCCTCGGGAACCAGCTGGGGGCAGGGAGAGGCGGCAGCTGAAAGCATTACTTGGGGCTGATCAGCTTTTCCATCAACATGACATCATTCGACATGGCATGGACACAAGCTGCAGAAGGAAAACCTGAAGATGGGAAATGTGCTGTTGGAGCAGGCCCTAATCAGAACCGGCGCTCCCCTCCCGGACTGAGGCTGCCTGGGCTGGCTTCCATTAGGGGCAGCTGCTGGCAGGCTGGGCTGCCTGATGCAGGCCCTCCCACAGGGCTGAGCCGAGCAAGCTGATTGGCCACTTCTCCACATCTCCACCTTTCCTTAGGGGTCCTTTGCAGACACGTAGGGGCTGGGTGCTATTTAAAACTACCAGGGAATCCAGAGCTTCAGCACAGTTTGCACTTTTTGCTACTCTGGCAGAGATACCCCCTCTCCCCCCTTCACTCAGGCAGGTCCCCATCCTATGTCTCCTGCTGACTTTTTTCTAAAAGAGAGTTTGATATGGAGTGGACTTCTTTTTTGCGTTATGTGAAATGTCAAAACAAATTTTAAATCAAGGAGAAGCACTAAGTCGATGGTTCTGAAGATGAAACCTTTCCAGAATGATTGCACTTGGTGAATGGGTGAATTTTGTCTTTCTGTGATTGTATACTTTAACATTTTAGAAAATTCTGATAGGTGCAAGCATTGGCATGCCCCTGCTCTGCGTCGAGCACAGCAGCCCTGTGGCCTCTGCTCCGTTTCTGGTAACTGTCTCCTTCCCTTGAGTTCCAAGAGGGACTGAGTCAACGCTTCTGCAGTGACATGGGGCTTTGGGGAACCATGGTTGGTGCTTGTAAAATATCCAGCACAGTGCATGGCACACACTAAATGTTGGATTTATCCCCCTTTCTTGACTCACCACCCCCCCACCCCCAATCTTAATTCAGATTCTCCCAGAAGCAGAGCCTGAATCAAGGATTCAAGCGCATGTCATTGACTCAGCGCATGATCCCAGGAAGCACCAGTAGGAAAGCGGGATGAGATAGGAAGGAAAGGCAGCTGCATTAGTCAGGGTTTTCCAGAGAAACAGAATCACCCAGCCGTGGGGTTATGCGTTAGCAAGGGCACCTGGGGGCTTTCGTTCTCCTGAACATCTGTCCTGCTGTGCACACGGGCAGAGTTGTTAGGGAAAGCTCCCGGGAATGGGGATGCAGGTGCTGGTAGTTGCACATTGGACTGGACAACAGAGAAGCGGTAGAAGCCAAGAGGATATGGGTGGGGCATTGATGCTATCTGCTCTGTCTTCCTGTGTTCATTTCCACCACGGCTTTCTCTGAGCTCACCGCTGGCAAGATGGGTCAACATGCTATTCTTGCCATGAGCCGCCTTCTCCGGGGAAGGGCAACCGTGGCTCTCTCACCTGGGAGGAAGGACAGCCTGCTGCCACTGCCATGTTGGTTCATGGGTCAAGGCTTCTAGCTTGTTCCACCGGTGGCTATCTCTAGCCCTGATCTTGCTTTGAAACTCACATCTTGGGCCTCCCAGGTGGCGCAGCGGTTGAGCGCTGGGTTGCGAAGCTGCTCGCAGCCTCTGCAGCGTCGGTTCAATCCCCAGCTGCTCCCCGGCCACCGGAGGAGGGTCCCACATGGCGCGCAGACCTCTCCTGCCGCCCGCTGCTCCCCTCAGCAGTGTACTTCGGTCCTTCTGCCTGCTCTGCTCCCTGCTCTGGCTCTGGTGAATTCTCTCACCCTCCCGCGCTTCTGACTGTACCCAGTGCTCGTATAAATAAATAAATAAACCTTTAAAAAAAAAAAAAAAAAAAAAAGAAACTCACATCTTATACTTTTTTTTTTCCTACTATGTGCTGTTGCTTGGGGAAATGATGATTAGTGGAAAGTAAACTGACCAGAGTTCAGTTTTAGATCTCTGTACTTGTTTGGTGCTGCTGTCTTTGCAGTCAAAATTGTAAATTTTTGGTCATGTAATGTGGAAAATTCACCAAGAAACCAGTGTTGTTGAAATAATCTAATAGCAAAGATTAGGAAGGTTCTAGATTCAGCTCTGCAATGGATGGTTCTCTCACTGGAGGAAGTCTTCTTCCCTTTAGGGAAAAAGATGAGCTTTTTGAGCTAGGTGGTCTTGCAGAGATGATTGCTATAAAGCTTTGATAGTTACCCATTTATTGCTGTTGTCGCCAAGGGAGTAGGAGGGCAACATTCAGAGGCTCTGTATTTTCTCTGTTGAAGTACTTGTTCACATTCCTTTTTAATATACCTGAGGTTATCCAGGTACCTACAGGTGATACAGCCTGGCCTTGGAAATTTAGCTGTTTGCTGAAATAAACAAGTTGGGGCAGACTCACCCTTGTTGACCAGGAATCTGCCAGCTTGACCTGGCGAGATCCCTGTGATGGCAGAGGCCCAGGAAAACCATTAAATGCAGCAGAACATGCGAGTAGCAGCTGCAGATGCCTACCCTGTCTCCTTGTTCATACCTCCCCTGGTAGCTGATCCCTTTGATGTTATTAAAAGTGGAGGGTGATCCCTGCTGTGCAGCTTCAAGTCCTTAAATGCCAGTAGGTGTGAGATGGCTTTTTATCCATGTAGTCCTGGGCTTTAAAAGGCTGGTGTGTGGAGATGGGGCAGGGCTAAGTCATCTGCTTTCACATTGGGTCAAAGACTCCTCTGGTCCTTTTAGGGACAGAAAATTCCTTTTCTCTCACCTTTAAAATGCTATATTCCCCTGAATCCACAAATATCACTGAAAAAAATAAGTCTTATAGAGGCTTCTGTGGCCCAGAAAGGCAGTGAAATAAGTGTTGATGTTAAACTCTATTTCCCTAATAAACACATTGTTTCATATTTATTTATAGACTCTGAAATAATGGCAGTGAAAACTTTGGCATTTATCCAATGTGTGTTCTATGTTGTGACCACGTTTTTGCTTTTATAAGTCCCGGCTTGTGTCGCGGTGGGTTCTGGCATGATGTACTGAGGTGCTCAGAGGTGGCTCTCAGGACAAGCCAATGATGGGCATGGTTTTGTGGAAAGCGTGGACGTGAAGGAAGTGCTCACTACCTGGGAATTCAGTCAACTTCAGTCTTTGAGTTGCCACTAGTGTAAGTACCATGAGTCACCTGCGATTATCCAGGTGCCTCCAGGTGACCTGGCGTTGCCTTGGAATTTCAGCAGAACAAGTTGCCATTCTTGTTGAGTGATGTATCCTCTGTGCCTACCCAGTGCTTGGCACATGGTACTCGGGACAGTGGGTGATACACGTCCAATAGATGTGGGATTTGCAGAGCACGACTCCTCTGTGAGGTGATTCCCAGCAGCAGGGTGATGGTGCCTTCCTGCTGGCACATTCACACTGCCTTTTAGGAGACTGCGTTGCGTGCAGCCTTGCATCTGCTCACCTTCTATAGGTTTGCTGTGGTGTCTGCCTGTGTCTACCTGTGTTGGACATGGCTAATTGTTGATGTGAATATTGGTGGTTCAGCCTCATGGTTGATACGCCATGAGGTTTAACTCAGGGAGAGCCATAAGGGTGACACATGGAGCATCACCAGGAAGGTAGGGGGCATCCTGCTTCTCTCCTGGTCCCCAAGCGCTCTGGCTGATGCATCTTTCTGGAAAGGTGGTGTGTTGGCTTCAGTCCTCCGTGAGGTAGAGGACGAGATACTGTGTGAAGTGTGCTTGTGGTCGTGTGAGGGTAATGGAGGTGACCTTGTGTGGAGGTGACCTTGTGTCTGTGTGTCTGTCCTCACTAATGCTTTCACCTTCTTATTGACAGGCCTGAATTACGTTCTGACAGCTGACGTGGCAAAAAAGGAGAAGGGCCAGTTACCCAGGGTCTACTTTATGTTGCTGGGGGAGTCCATGGGTCAGGTCACAGAGAAGCTGCAGCTGGTCCACATGGAGGAGACCTGTCATCACTATGTGGCCCACGTGAAGGTCAGTCTGTCCTCCCTTTTCTATCTTCAAATGTATGTCAGTCTCCACAGATGTTCATTTGAGACCATTTTTATTATGTTATTACCTGTGCTCTATCTTCCAAATTGTTGCTTCACAAGCAGAACATCTATTCGTTCTGGAGACTGACAGCTCTTTATTTATTGTGCTGGTCTCAGCCTCTGAGGGCAGTTGTGGTGGGCCAGGAGCAGGTGATGCTCTCTGGCTTGATGTGAGCCTTTCCCCTCTGTGAGGCCCAGTGGTCTCAGGAAAGTCATAGAAGCACGTGCTTCAAGGTCTATGGTGATGCTGGATCACACTGCACCTGATGTCATTAGTGGTCCAGTACACACATTAGCTCACAGTCACAGGTAAGGCATTTGAAAACTGGCTGAACTAAATTTTTCTCCCTTGATTACTCTGGTTATTTTAGAAGTGTATTTTTGGCCCTTTTCCTCCCTGTCTCTAAATAAACTTTCAAATGTTTTCCTCCTCTTGAGATTGTTTGTTAAATACACTTTGCTGCTGATTCAGAGGCCAGGCTTTGATAAGTTCCAAAGAAGCCTCTGCACGGGCAGGTGCTAGCAGGTTGGGAGTCCTGGTGGTGGCCAGGACTGGCCAGCCATTGACCCAAATAGGAGGTGGGAAGACCTATGACCTGGGCCGCATGGTGGATGGAATGAATGATGTTTGGAGTTGGACCTGGTATGTGTCCAGTGGGATGAACACTTTGATCTCTCTGCACTCAGTTTCTGCATCTCTGAAACAGACATGGTAACACTTAACCTTGAAAGGTGGTCTTAAGAATTAAACATTACATGATGAATGGACTCAAGGACTTTGCATGGTATCTGACACGTGGCAGACACTCATTATTATTATTTGATTGTGCCATGTTTCATTCCAACATTTTTGACCTATGAATATCAGTCTCATGTGACTCAACGTAGTATTAATAGCCTATGAATTTCTGCATGATAGCAAAAATAGTGAACAAATTAGAGATGAAGTGTCATTCTATTATTATATTAGTGCTGGAGCAGGAAAGTAACAGCTGCTTCTAGATGCTTCTAGGTTGTGTATGGAGAAAGACCCCACACATCCATGGCTCTTGGTCTGGCTGAGAGCCTATGAGTCTGTGCCCCTGAGATGCTTTTCAGTGGGGCTGGGCAGGGTCTTCTGCCAGGACTCGTGCTGGGGCCTGCCCAGAGCAGCTGCCCTAGAGGCCCGGGTGAAGGCAATTTATAAAGCAGTTGATGCTCCTGTTAAGCCAGCCAGCCACCCGTCCCTGTAAGTCTTAGATTATATTGGCTCATGATGCCCTTGGGGTGGGTGGCCAGGCTCTGTTCAAACACTGCTAGGCCTTTGAGTGCCTGTGCTTGGTGTCTGCGTGCTCCCTGGAGCCAGGCCACCTTCCCTGGGCTTCCTCATGCTGGATCTCTTCTGTGGCTGTTTTCCTGCAGGAACTCTAACTTATGCCTCTGGCTGAGAGGTTGCCCTATGTGTGTAGCTACCGCAGGGCCTGGCTTCAGGACAGAGCCACTTAGAGTTTGTAGGCCTTGGCAGTGTGCACTTGGGGAGCAGCAACAATGAGGTGCAGGCTAGAGGCAGGGCTTTTTCTGTATTAGCCTCTGAGAATTAACTGCTGAGGGCTGCCACTCCTGCTGCTTTATAAATCCAGGGTTGCCAGATTTAGCAAATAAAAATACATGATCTCCATTTAAATCTGCACTTCAGATTAACAACAAATAATTTAAGACTGTCTCAGAGTACACGGAATATACTTGCACTGAAAATTGCTGACATTTAAACTTCCCTGGGCACCCTGTTGGGAGATCCATCTTCCCTGTATCCTCCCATCCTACAAAGGGCACCTCATTTAGCCGGCACATGACTGACAAGTAGAGGGATTGAGAATGTGGTCAGAGAGCTTGGAGGCTGAGGATGGGGTTCAGGAAAGAGTAAACAGAGACATTTAAGTGATTATTTTGGTCACTTTGCAGAATAAGAGAAAAGGTCTTCCATGAACTTGGACCTTGAGAAATTTGGGTGTTGTTATTGCCTGGCAGTTTTCTCATGCAAAGGGTTGGGAGTTGCATGCCTCTGAGGTCATTGTGGGTCAGGAGGCCAGGTCCCTGTTAATGTATGGCAGAGGGCTGTGTGAAGGGCTGTGTGAGGTGAATGCTAGTGAGCTCACTGCCCTCTGTGGGGGTGGTCCAGCTGGCCTAGGAGACAGCCTGGCCTGGGTTTCTCTGGCTGTGGGAAAGCAGCTGTGGAAGCAGTAGCTCTTGGGGGCTGGGGGCTGAGCCAGGCAGCAAGGCTGGGGGAGGGGTGTGGTAGCTGGGCCTCCTCAGCAGGAATGGGGGACAGGATGCTGGCAGTCTGGATGATGAAAGCTTCATGCAGCCTCTGCTGTAAGTGGAACTTCTCCATAGAGCTGGCTCTTGGCTTTATAGACAGTGAAGGAAGATAAATAAAAGTGTTCTGCCTTATCACATACCATATGGCCAGCAGTGAGGCCAGCACTAGGAGCTGGGTATGTTTTGTTTAGGCTATCTTTAGGTATTTTTTTTTTAAGTCTTTTCCAATCTTTTTTTTTTCTTCTTCTTTTTCCCTGGAAGTTTTCTTTCCATATATGGTGATGAGTAGCTCTGTTGCGGGAGAGACTGCTGGGACCAACACCTGCCTCCCAGGCTAGCTGTTTTGTCCCACACTAGCTGTCTTGTCCCACACTTGGTTCCATTCATGGCCCTGATGGAGCCTCCAGGAAGCACAGATTGTTGTAATCAGCCTCATGTGCTAATCAGTGTCCATGTGCCCAAGTTTCTCTCCCCACCTCTCCCAAACCAGTCAAGTTTGGTGTGGGTGGGGCCCTTCTGCTAGTAGTAGGCTGAAGGATCCTTGCAGTTCCCAGAGTCACAGGTGAAAACCCACACACCTTCCCTGAGCCTACCTTCCCTGAGCCTCAAGACTCTACTCGATTTGACCTCAGTTTGACTTTTGTTTACCTCGCACATGACTGGGGGTCTCTAGGGCCCCCAGACTTAAGGGGTGCATACTTTAAAGGGATCCAGTCATCCATAAGCACAAAGACAAAGGAAGCAGACATTCAGAGTGATAGATCTTTAATAGAATTAGTGTCCTGAGTGAAGGCAGAGAAGAGAGGCTAGTCCTAATAATAGTTTTCCAATAAAATTCCCCAAATTACCCATCCCATTGTGGGCAAATGCCCAGCCACACAGGTTGGTCCAAAGCAGGGCAGTTGAGGCCCAAAAGTTTGCCATAAGTCTAAGATACCTTCTGGTGGGAAGGAGCAAGAAGGAGCTTAGGCAGGTCTGAGAGAGCTGGGGCCAAAGGAGATACCACATCAAGACAGCCTCCCCATTTATCTCTCACCCGTGTGTCTGTTTCAAGTGTCTGTGTCTCCCTTTCACATGTCTCTTCCAAATCCCTTCCCCAGCAGTATCAGGGTGCAAGTCGGGCAGTAGAAAACAAGATCCCGCGCTTGCCTGCTTTCTGTGTTATATAGCTTCATCTGGCCACTCAGCTCTAGCCCTAGGTCCCAGTGGATCCCCCACTCAGGAAGTCTGATTCATGGCTCACTGGGACTGGTAGTTCAAGATGGCTGCATCCAGTTGGAGTGGGGGAATGGCCCCTCCCCTTTGCAGAGGTGCCTTTGTAACATGTTCTAGCCTCATCTTTCTCATCACATGCACCCTGAACTCTTCCCCAGGGGAACAACCCCTTTTCTCCTGGAATGTTTCTCTTTCCCCCCTGTTGTGGTTCTCCTGTTCACCTTGGCGTTTCTGGCACTTGATCATCATGGCCCAGTTTTGGTCCTGCATGTACAATCACGTACCATCTGCAAGCTTTTTGCATTTTGGTGGGAAGGTCTGAAACACACACTTTCTGCAGTATTTTATTTCATAGATTTTCTTTAAATCAGTCAACTTTTTGCCTCAAATAAAATTTTTAATTGAAGTATTATTTAAAAATTTTAAGTTTTGGGTGCTCGGTGTTGGAAATTAGCATGTCTAAAATATAAGTTCACTGCTGAATGTCCAAATCCATCCTTTACCATAAAATAATTAAAAAGAGACTTCATACCACCCTTTAAGCAGAAAACCACTTATTGCATGCCAAAAATAGGAAGTAATTGTAAAAATAAATACATTGAAGACACAACAATGGTGCTGATTCTAGCTGGATTTCATTGTTTGCTAGTCTGAAGAAGTGGCCCACTCTTCCTGTGTATTAAAAGAGGAAATCATGGAGTGCTAGGGAAATATCAAAGACATACTGGCACCACAATGAACTTTCTCCCTGATGTGGTCAGAAGGACGATAGGAATTTTGACTGGAGAATAACTTTCTAAATACGTGGGTCCTGGTCTGTCATAGAGCCCAAGTGCCATGCAAATTCATATCACGACCCCTTCCCCCCCAAACCCCCAAGCCTGGTCAAGCAGTTCTTTGATTGCATCATCTTACTGGCTGAAGGTTGTCTGTTCTTCCAGGCTCAGTCACTTCACAGGTCTTCAGTGTCCTCAGCCAGCCACTATCCTGGCCCTGGGATGGCACCATCAGCTGTGTTCTCAGAGCTTACTCCATGCTACCCAACTCCTCCTTTGGCAGAGACAGACTGCAATATTGTGATTTATCAGAAGTGTGTGTTTAGTTATTCAGGTGGCCAACATTTCTCATATATATATGGTGTTCATCTATAGTTCCTGGCTCAAAGCTCCTTAAAACCCTTGGAATTTCCTAGTGTGTGAATGATAAAATTATCTTCTGTTATGTTAACGTAACTTTTGGAAAGGATCCTGGATGGGGCCTGGTTGCTGAGGGAACCAACCCCTGTGATTAGAGCATTGGAACTTCCAATCCTAACCCCTAGACCTCCACGGAGGAGAGAGGGGCTGGAGGTTGAGTTCAATTGACAGTGACCAATGAGCTAATCATGCCTAAGAATGAAGCCCCATAAAAACTCAAAAAGGGGCTTGA